CTCCTCTTTGAGACTCGGTTTCCAGCCTGGTCGCCGCTTCACCGAGCCATATTGTTGCAGTGTGCTTGTGCGCTGGCTGTATCGTGATCTTGGCTCGGTAACAACTGTTTTAGGAGAGAGCGGTGGCGAAGGGGGATATGGGTCCCAGTCGCTATCTTCGTCTTCGGAGAGTAGGAAACATTGATGCGCCGGGATGTTGCTGTCTCGTTTGCTGGGTAGGGTGGAATAACTGCCTTCTCCCCGTGCAGCAACACCACCTCTTCGTCCGGCTTCGCCAATCTGCATCGCCGCGCTATCATGTTGTGTGCGATGGCAGGGTGTGGGCTCGTTGCTCCTTGATCGAGACATTTTTGTATGCTGCTTATCTGTCGCACTCGTATGGATCCAGGACGTGTGATTGTTGGAAGCTCTACTGCACCATTTCATGGCAATACTCCGACGGCGATACTGTAAAAGGTTGGCGCAGGTGTTAAAATTCAATCGCGGTGTCACAAGATTTTGTGCAAGGTAGGGAGAAGGTGCGAAAATGGCGGCTGCCTGTTGTTTGTTTGTAGCGAGGTAATTACACGTGAACGTGAAGTGAAGAGCGTTTATGTATGACTAGGTTCTTTCTGCATCCAGCCCAGTGGCTGCTATAAAGCCAGCGTCAACACTTATACGTGCACGCCTGGACTCTGTGCAGAATGAGACGCATAGACGTAAAGCACACGTAGTCACGGAAGTGGTCCCAACAAGGGGCGTGTGCTTAGACGCACTATTTAGTTTGGCTCGCATCGGATTGTTGACATAAGCGCCACAAAGGGCCTCCCTTGTCAGCAAATGCGGCTTTACTTCGAGGGCGCGGGCTGCGCTTGGACTCGTCATCGTGGGTTGACTGGTTCTGACGATGTGCATGTGAGCATGTGACGTTGGATAACCCATCTTGTTGGTGGCCTGTGCAAGTCTCTCAACGGACCGACGAAGACGCCCGGGTATTCTACCCAGACGACAGGTGTAGACCAGCCTTACGCACCGAGTCAAGATGTGCCCGAGAAAGAGATTTCCATGGTCGTGTTCAACAAGTGTCGTGTGCTTCGCCGCTTTCGGTAGCAATGCTGTTTGCGCAAGGATGCCTTGCGTTATCTCAAGGCAATCAAAACACATCCATCTCTTCCGTCACTCGCTTTCCAAACCAGTCTACAAGTTCATCGCCGATTGCCTCGTTTTTTCCATTGAAGAAGTCCGTCATCCGCATGTCGTTGCCATCGTCATCCGCCGGCCAGTCGATGCTGACATCGGCCTTTTTCCCCTCAAGCATTTCCTTGGCTGTGCCCCAGGAAAAGCGAGTCTCGTTACCCCAGCCAAAGAGGGGATCCATGTTCTGCTTCATCCATGCTGAGGTGCGCGCGTCCGATGGATACCCTGATCCCCACGCGGCTTGGACCTGTGCCCCATTTTCAGCCTCTGGATCGGTGCGGCTATGGTAGGGCTCGTAGCACACGTCTAGTGCAGCATCGCGCGTAACCTTGGCGCAGACCGAGGCTGCGCTCACGACTGGGTATAGACTGTCGGCTTTCTTTGCGACTGTGATGCTAATGGTGGGCCATATTCTCTCCAGCTTCTTCTGGTAGATTTCGGGCTTGCCGATTGTATCAATGTATATCTCCTTGACGTTGACCCCCTTGGCCAGGACCTCTTTGATCAAATCAATCGTCGCATCCATAGCTTGGGCGTTTAAGTTGTACACGGATGGCTGCAGCATGTGCGCGGAGATGTCTTGTGCAGACAGTAGCCGCGTTGCCCACCCGCCGGCTTCGTAGAGATCGGTGCCTTTGGTGCAGAGCGTGCGCATGAGATCGGACCGGACATCGGCCTTGAGCACCTTGGAGTCATCAAAGTGGTGGGTTTCGGCGAGGAGGGAGTGGTGCAGTTCGATTGGTAAGTAGAAGAGGGCGTATACCATAGGGCCTGGATTGTGTCAGTCATGGTCATCGTCTTAGACGGGCGGAGTAGCGGTACCCAATACGGGGCCTCTTCCTGCTTCGTCGACACCCAAGACAACCTCTCGTGCCATGTCATCTGCAATTTGCTTGGGGATGGGTGAGAAGTGTGAGTAAGACCGGCCACCCAGAAGATTCGGCTTGGAAATTGACGGCGCCATGAAGACATCCGAGGGCGGCGTCTCGTCCTCAATGTCCTGCGTGTCCATGTGGACGTCATCCTGTGCCTCTGCCATGGTGGTGAATCAATGCGACTGGGAAATGGCGGTTGGGACTTTGTTGGCTCGGAGTGGAAGCAAAAGTGGCTTGTTGGCGGAGAACGCGACGCGCCCGTCTCGGTATTTTGTTGCGCGATGCACCGAGCCACTAGGAGTAGGCGTGTGAATGGTACCGCAGCACGGCGGAAGTACGGCAAGCACCCACACACACCTCATGCGTACACGGCACGTTGCATGCAGTCTTCGACGCTTTTTCCTCAAACCTACTGAAAGCGGCATCTCAGTGTCGGCGAGTCTTGTCCGTGTCACCACAAAAGGGCCTCGCCGCACGAGTGCCGCCGAAAGCTACATATCTTGTCCCTAGAGTAGTAACTATGGCGGCCGTACTATCATACCCTACCGACCCATGCATAGTGTGTGCAAGACGCCGCAGCCAAAACATATAGTACCCTTGGTTACTGCAGGCCATTTTTGATCAACTTGCTAATACTGTTCCTGAGGCTCTCTTGTAGCCAATTCGGCAACCCCCTGACGTAAGTTATTTTACTTACATCACTTGGCAACATGACCTGTCCACCACTGCAGCTCACAATGCTCTTGACAATTGAATCGGCAACAACAGTGGGCTCAATGATGGAGGCGCCGCGCTTCTTGAGCTCGTCCTCGAAGGATGCAATGAGAGGCGTGCGCGCCCAATTGGGGTGGATCGATGTCGTAAGCACATTCGGGCTGTTGTAATGATGCCTGAGTTCTTGGTTGAGCGCTACTCACAAGTCAGCTTATTGCAGCGTAGGAGAACAAGAACAGATGACGGACATTCGTGGAAGCTTAAAATCGCTGCCTTGGTCGCTGTGTAATCGGCCATACCGGCGACGCCGACGAAGCTCGCCGCACTCGCAACTGTCACAATGTGGCCCTTGTTATGCTGGAGCATGTGCGGTAGGAACGCCTTGGTGGTGTACCAGTTGCTGAGTACATTGACGTCAAAGATTCTCCGGAGATGGTCATCATCGGTGTTCAAGATGGTATGGGGCACGAAAATGCCTGCATTGTTGACAAGAATCGTAGGCGCGCCTAGAGTCGCTTTGATTTTTTCTGCAGTCGAGTAGACGGCGTTTGGATTTGTGATGTCGCAAGCAAAGAATGTGACGTTTGCGACTAGCACAGTTAGCATATGAGATGCACGGTACTGCAAAGGTAAAGACTTACCGCTCTGCAGACTCGGTGGTAGTTGGCGAATGTCCAGGATAGCCACCCGTATATCCTTGCTGATCAATCTCTTCACCACGAGCTCCCCGATTCCAGAGCACCCTCCAGTAACGACAGCAACCTCGCGACTCCAGTTCCACCTTGCCTTGTCACTTCGGAGTCTTCCAGAATTCAGAGCTACGTGGTTCAACTGTTTATTCAGAACCCTTGCTGCTCCGAACGCAAGACACACTTTCAATGCCTTTACAATGTGCGCATATTGTGTTGGATCTCGAAGAGCCGGGATCCTATTGGTGAGCTGACGACGGAGTTGCAGAGGGCCCTTTGTTAGTATCCATAAGAGAGCGGTAGTCACGATGGGATTGAGCGCAACATGCGTGGCAGATGTCGCGACAAGGTTGACCAAGTTTTGTAATGCTGCCGCCATGGCTATGGAGCATACAGATGATGGGTGGGGTTTGGCTAGGGGCCTATATGGATATATAGTGGCAACTACCGGCACTCACTCCCAGATAACAAGAGTGGTGCGGATCCGGCTGGATCAAGAGGGGGTAAGGTAACACGCGGATGTTGGGCTTGATTCGGCCGGCTCTCCCCCTGTAAGTACGTCAAGAAAAGACCTCGGCTCTGCCTACATGAGCGCTCACCGTTCGGCTGAAGAGTGTGTATCACTTTTACGCAGAGTTCTTCTGCAGCATGTACATGGGCTCTATCAGTGTTTATCAGGTGTAATGCAGAGCAGAAGTGCTTAGCATTTTAGGACATGGAGCAGGGAAGTGGAGGCCAAAGTGTTTGCAATGCATCCTTGGGATTTGATTTGGCAGTCATGGCAAAGGCGAGATGGTATGTACTCCCGATATCAAGAATGGTAAAGTCGAAGTGGAAGATAGTCGTCGCTTTAGGGTAGTCTGGCGGTGACGTAATTACCACGGTCAATAATGCAACTGGCAGATTCGACCCGCAAGAAGACAGAGTCGGCATCCGCTGGAATCCATACTGCATACGGACTTCCGAATGGCACGGGTCGGCAATAAAGTGCATCTACACACCCAAGCATGCCAGCCGCTCGGGTTGTGTTTCTTTTGGGGTTGTTGGGCGGAATTTGGCCGCAACGCTATGGGCCTACTCTGCGACTACAGCCATGCATGCACACGGCCATGTAGGGTACCATGACTGGCGCCCTGCATCCATGCCGAATGCCGTGTGCACCGGGCCTTTGGTGCAGAGCAAATGGGAAGGGAAGCCGCGCAGGTATGTGTGTAGTATACAAGAGTGTACATGCTATGTGCTGTGTGCATGTAGGGTGTGGATGGTCGAGACAAGTACCAATGGCTGGGAACCGGGCCCGATTGGTCCGTGGCTAGCTTGGCCGCACGCGGGGCAGTCTACTACTACTGACTACTCGACTACGAGCCACTCGACCAGAACGTCTTGCCAGTCCCCGTTTGTCGACTTGATGCCATATGCGACCGTCTCGCGCTCCCTCTCTTCCCCTCGACTGCGTTACCACTGTGAACATGGCGATGGGAGCATCGCTTTCGGAATGCTTTGAGCCGGTGCCACGGATTCGAGGGTGTCCCATTGTGATTGGGATATGCACGGCGTGCGGGGAAAATGCCTGGCCCTCAGACTTGAAACGCAAACGCGAGCGGTCAAGCCCGCCTTACCGCATCGGCTGTGCTGGACGGCGGGGCGCCTCTTGTCAAAGAAGATCGACATTGTCACAACGAGGAGCAGGATACCAATCCAGATATGTGTACGTTATTGCCATGTACACTGGCTGGCGGAGATCAAAGTCAGCAGCCGGCCGACGCCAGGGATCTGCCCAAGTATTTGTGTACATGTCTGAGTACGTGTGTGAGCATGTACTGTCCATGTACCCCGGGCAGCCCCCTCGTCGTAGCCTTGAAGTGCTAGACAAGACACAGCTCCCAGGCCCCCCTCAGTCAGTCAGTCTACTACTATACACTACTAATCGTGCACGACATCTCTTCCCGTTCGAGGGCGGCATGCATCTGCATCCGTGACTGAGGCGACGGGTGCCCCGCCTGGGCTTTGAGCGTGTGGAGGTTGCACTGCCCCTCATTGCGCGGATTGTATGGGCGGTCCGGCTGGCTATGAGCTGCCAGATGACGTGAGGGCATGCAACGCCCACCACCCGCCGGCACCACCATCCCACGCCAGGGGCCTGGAACTCGCTCGAGGGCAGCAATCAGAAGCACGTTTGCCGCGCATATCGACGTCGGGTGGGCCGTGGGCAGAGAATGGCGAGGCTGTGGCCATCAACCCGAGCCTAAGCAACCATTGCTGGCTCGCTGATACGCCGCCCAAAGGCCCGCCGCCGCCGTGTCCCGTTGGCGGTTGGTGGTTGGGGGTTGGTTGCAAAGTGACGGGTCGTGGTTGGCATCAGAGGCGGCGCCCACCCACCCAAGCTACGCCTGAGTTTCTGGCGCGGGATGCTACTAATAGACTACTGCTATGTAACTACGTCCTCACGGGGCGAGTATGGTGCATGCACAGGGTTTGCGGGAACTGGAGGGTCCCATAACCTCTACCGGGCACAGGACGCATCCAGCAGCAGAAGCGCAACGTATGCGGAATCCCATCCAGCACTAGCTGCGCGCCACACTGTCCCCTGATGGACCCTGACCACCTTGACCTTGACCTGCGAAGCCGACGCTCCACATGTGCTTGCTTGTCGACTTGCCTCTTTGGCGCTTCAAGTCTGAACGGTTGGCCAATACTTCCAGACTCTCCAAGCCTGCCCTTAGCCACGACTCGTTGCGTGCATAGGCCGTCGAGTGCGCGCTGCTGCTGTGCTGCTGCGACCCGCACTACAGCGACTTCCGTCCCTGCCTGCCCTACATTCCGACCCTCCAACACCGTATCCGTCTAACCTCTGTACTGTCCCCTCTCCTCCAGCGCCTCGCTCTAGGCCTCCAAGGGCATTTGCCCTGTGTACGAATTATCATGTATGTCTGCTGCGTCCATCGGAGTACTCCAAGGGGCGAGGGGCCTGCTGCCGCGGCTCTCCCAACCCCAACATCACACCGCCCGCCAAACCCCCACACCAGCTCCCACGACCCTCGCGCTGACCTGAAGCCCAGTGTATTTCTAGTTTTCTACTCAACATGGCCTACCAAGGCATCGGAGGAGGCAGCGGCCTCAGATCTCCGCGCGAAGACTCGTCCTTCTTTTCCTTGAATCGCGCCGCTCAGAATGGCGACGGCCGCGCGACCCTGCATCGCCGCTTCACCACCAACAACATCCCGACCCTGAGCACGCCATTGTCTCCAATCGGCCAGCAACGTAGGCAGGCGGCAGAGCCGACCGAATTTACAACTGCGGTATGTCGACATTCTCGTACAAGTATGGGTGGGGGGGATGAGAGAGAGCTGGTGCTGATGGCTGGTGCTGGTGCTGGCGCTCAAGGGCGCCTCGCATGTTCAAGTTGCGCAGCAGCCACAACCACATGGATGGATTTGGGCTCAAGCCACAGCCGTGATTTGGGTGTTTGGCGTGCATGCTTTTTTAGTCGTGTAAATGCGTGGTGAAGAAGAGTTGGGGCTAACGACCAATCCTGACAGACCTATCATAAGCTCCAAGTGGTAAGTTGACTTCACCGAGCCTTTTGCTGCCTCTCACTTCACATCCCTCTTTCATTTCCCTGGACCTGGCTAGGTGGTTACATCCGCTAAGTTCGTTTGCACTGGTACCCCCACGATGTAACATGTGATAAACGCCTTCACCTTGTCTTTCTCTCACATAAACAAACCCTCACAAGCTAGCACTGCTAGCGCCACCACTATACGTCTCTTTTGTCGCACACGACTTGTTTTTTCTCTCTCTGCTATCTCTGTTTTTGTCTTTCTCTATTTTCAATAGTCCTAGGCTACGAGCGACGCTGTTGCCTTGCGACAAACCTGCTTCTGCCTTCGCCTCACCGTCTGACAATCAACTAGCTCGAGAGGAAAAGAATCGAACACGAGTACCTCAAAGAAGCCAAACGGCGGTTTGACGCTGAAATGGAGCTGCTCAACCTCCAAGCCCAGCACGGCGAAGCTGATACCAATCGCTTTTCCAACGACGCCCAGTACGGCGGGCCGGCCCATAGCCAGCCCACAACGCCGCCCGAGTACAGCGAAAGCAACGGCTTTCCGTCTGCACTGTCACGTCCAAACCGGTTTAGCATGTCTAGCATCACACCAGGTATGATCACTCGCAGTAGCCGCGCCAGCTCCCAAGTCACCTCTCCCCCTTCAAACATTCAAGGTAGCGGCCACGACAACAATTTCCCGTCTCATTCCATGCCAGGTTCTCGACGCAACTCTGAAGAGGACCATGACGACTTTGAAAACGACGATTTCACCCCGCTGAGCCCAGCGGCCCGCAAGTAAGTTGAACTACAGCTCACCTTTACCTCCCAACAGCTACTGACACAATCAAACAGGAACAACCGCATGTCTATGCCTGTGACGAGAATGGATTACGGTAGTCGTCCAGACCTTCCAGACCTTTCCTCTGTCTTGGGTCACATTGACACGGCTGGTTTTCTGTTCGGGCAAGATGACCGGACTAATGCTTCCCAAGATCGCAACGGCTTTCTTCAGATGGGCAACACCAAAGATGACTTTCCTGTCTTGGTTCGCCGCGACGGCGCCGGTAATGGTACGAACCTTTCTGCGTCTTCTGCTGCGCTTGATTTGGCCCTTTCCCAGCCCCCTAGCCCGGACGCCCAGTTCCCAGCCTGGAATGGTTACCGTCACCGTCAGGCTCAACAGTCGCTTCCTGCTAACACATTCCGCAAAGCCCCTCAAGTTGACGAATATGACTCTGCTCGATCCAACGGCAACGGCAACGTTGACACTACGCCTAAGAAAAACTTGGCCAACAACCGTCGCTCCGTTGAATTCAGCTTCGCTAGCCCTACCAATGCTATGCCGAAGCTAACTCAGTCCTACTCAACCAACGATGTTCCAACCTTGAAGAACAGCGCTGGCATGAACGGAACGAATGGTATTGGCTTCACATCTCATGCCCAGCAGCACTTTCACAACCACAACGCTAGCCTTGGCCGTATTCCGCAAAATGCGATTTCGAATCGCAACAGCCGTGACTTGTCCATGGCCAACCGCGAGTCTGAATACCAGCCTAGTGTTCACGCAAGTGCTGCCCCGTTCGGCCCTTCCGTCGCTTCAGCTGCTCCCAACAGTGGCGCTTCAGCAAACGTCGGTCCGCCAGCAATGTCGCAGTACTCGGGCGTTGCAGCTACAAACCCTAGCTATTATGGCTATGGAGTATCGATGCTCAACGGCGCGATGAACAACCTTAACCTCGGTCCAGCGTCGGGACCTGGGCCTCAGTATGGCGGACCTTCTGCTTACGCCCCCAACGGCATGTATGGCAGTGGCCCGCAGTACAATCCTTATGCCACCTATGGACCAGGAGGCCGCGTTCAAGACAGCCAGGCTCGCGTCATCCAGAGCCGTCGCCTGCAAAATGATGCGAACAAGTACATGAACTACGATTTGAAGACTATGCCGCGCCAGGAAATCTACAGCTTGTGCAAGGACCAGCACGGATGCCGCTTTCTGCAGAAGAAGCTCGAGGAGCGCAACGCGGAAAACATTCAAATCATCTTTGATGAAACTGCTCCTCACGTCGTTGAGCTCATGACTGATCCATTTGGTAACTACCTCTGCCAGAAGCTGTTGGAGTTTTGCAACGACGAGCAGCGCAACACTCTTGTGCGCAACGCTGCTCCTGCCATGGTTCAGATTGCATTCAACCAGCACGGCACTCGCGCACTGCAGAAGATGATTGAGTTCATCTCGACCGATGATCAGACGCAGATGATCATTCGCGCTTTGTCCGGACAGGTTGTTGATCTCATTCAAGATCTTAACGGTAACCACGTTATTCAGAAATGCCTCAACCACCTCAAGTCTCCAGATGCCCAGTTCATCTTCGATGCTGTAGGCGAACACTGTATCACTGTCGGCACCCACCGCCACGGCTGCTGTGTCCTGCAGCGTTGCATTGACCATGCCTCTGGCTTCCAGAAAGTCGACCTCATTCGCAAGATTACGGCGCACAGCTTTCATTTGGTTCAGGACCCCTTTGGCAACTATGTTGTTCAGTACATCTTGGACCTCAACGACGCCTCCTTCACGACGCCCATGTGCCAGGGTTTCCAGGGCAAGATTTGCGAGCTGTCTAAGCAAAAGTTTAGCTCCAACGTCATTGAAAAGTGCATTCGCTGTGCTGAGCCGCATGTCAAAGGTATGATGATTGAGGAGCTTCTTGACGTTGAGCAGCTTGAGCAGCTCATGCGCGATTCATACGGCAATTACGTTATACAGACTGCGCTCGAATTTGCGCCCGCAGAGCTGTGCGTCCACCTCATTGAGGCTATGCGTCCTATTCTCCCGTCCATTCGGCAGACTCCCTACGGCCGCCGCATCATGAGTAAGGTTGCTGAGCGCGAGAGCCGTCTTGCTGCGTACGCAGGCCGTACTTCTTCCGGACACGCATCTCCTGGCACTGCACAGGGCCCTTCAGAGCCAAGCTCGGCATATGGCCCTCAGTACCAAGCGCCCATGTACACGTCCAACGCCAACTACGGCCCGAGCATTCTCTCTCCGCAGCCGCATCGCCAGCCACACCGCTTGAGCAACGCTTCGGTTCCACAACACATGCACAACGCTGTCCAAAACAACAGCAACCAAGGCTACCAGCAGCCACAACAGCAGTACGGTATGGCACAAGCCAACGGTAGTCATGGTCAGTGGTTCTAGGACGAGGGGAAGATATTGGACGACCTTATGACTTGACGAACCATGGTACGGTCAAAAAGCATTCAAAACGCCTCGGCACATGATTCAGCAGCATGGCTATCAGTCTATTGGATTGGTGTCGGGGTTCAGTCATGTGGCGGATTGAAAAAGTTTCCTTCTATCGACCAATCTTGTCTGCGAGGGTCTGAGTTGGAGTGTTTTGTGCTCCTTCGGCAAGACGCTCATTGTATTCGACAGATTGGTCTTGTACACTACGGCTACACGATTATCATCACGGAGCGTAGGCATCCACTGGCATACTCTGGCGCATGGAACACGAGTTACACTGGGGTATGTGTTTTTGCTTTGCTTTACTTTCCCTTTTTTTTCTTTTCCTTTTCCTTCGGATGACTTGTATTCTATCCCTTCGCTTTCCCCTTACCCCCATTTCCTCGTTGCTTTGGTTGCATGGACTGTCGATATGAAGACGGCACCTTGGTGCAACTAAAAGAAACGTTGAGCATGAGCACTTTGGTAGCACGGGCACGAGCATGGTCGCCACGTCGGCGGCGTTTTTCGGGCACAGGAGAGGATGCAATGGCCACTTGTCGTGAGCCTGGAGCTAGGTGGCAAGTCTCGAGTAGACAATGGAATCAACAGAATCATGTATCATTGTTCTTTTTTTTTGCGATGGGTGATGATATTATTGATGATGGTGATGGTGATGATGATGTGGTGTTGGTGAGATGATTATGATATGCATGGATATAAAGGCGGAGATGGGAAAGAAGAGTGCTACCACGGTGCTTTGGTAGTAGAGAGAGAGACACAGTATGGTTGGTTGGGTGGCGTGAAATGACGAGGGGCAAAGAAGTGTTCCAGCGCTTGGATTGGGAAGACGCCATGACGTGACACTCGGCCTTCCGCTTCTAGCAGGAGCCTCTCCAAGACAGCCTGAACACCTTCCTTGTTACCCCTAGCCTACATACACTTTACACACAGCGCTTCCACCAACTGCACCAACACAGTCCTGTACCAGCACGCAACCTTTACGGTGTCCGACAACGATATACGTCGCCTGAACATCACGGCTCCCAGCGATAGATATCCAGACACAACAGCAACCCGCGCGGATCCGAAGATTTGATTGCTAGACGATGCGCACTGCTTTTATTCCACTCGTTGTTTCGCTGTTTGCGACAGTAGCCATGGGGCTTGCGCCACACCGGAGCGTCATCATCAGTTGGCCGAACGACACGCCGGACGAGATCGTGGAGCAGAGCAAGGAGGCTATTCGAAAGGCAAAGGGTAAGTGGAGAGATGGTAGAATTTGTCTGCTTGGGCACCCGATAGGCTGGCGATACGTTGAGTCTGCTGCTGACGATGGTGTGTAGGTGAGATTACATATGAGTACAATATCATCAAGGGGTTTGCGGCCACGGCCCCTGCATCTGCGCTGGAGCTGGTGTCTACGCTGAGCGATGTGTACAAGTGCGAGATTGAGGAGGACGGCATCGTTACAACACAGCACAACAAGGAGTAGTTGGGCAGTGAGCAGGGGAAAGACAGACTGTACTAGGGACGAGTTATGGGCTTTGGGTTTGAATATTGGGCGTTTTTTGGGTTGGCGTTGGGCAAAGGTGGTGATGGTGTTGGATGGCAGTATGAATGTTATGTATGTAGTTGGCCATGGTATTGCTGCATGTAAAAGCAAATAGCCACTGCATGTAGACGTGCATACAGTATACACACATGCCCACGTGCATACTTATCTTGACATACTACTACACAGGCACCCAGGCCTGTCTCTCATCCCATATCGCCTCGACGATAAAGTAGGGCGGGCGGACAAGGCGGTGGAGCCCTGCAGCGGCCCCTTCCCCGCCATGGCTGGCCTCACTCGGGGACGTGCGAGTCGTGGCAGAGCGACGCCTTCGGCCGTGACATGCGCGTCATGTGTCTTATGGCAGCAGTGCGAGGTGCAACTCTAGACTAACGGCTAGGACAGGCCATCGCCGACGACGTCAGTGCCTTCATTGTCGCGATCCGAGCACGGCACAGCGGTGAAGCGCGGCCCCGCGCAAGTGTGTGCTGTATTCCGGCCTAGCGTTGGCAACACATCCAACCTCACCCTCAACGCGTCGACACGTCCTGAGCCGGGAACAAGCCTGTGCGAGGTGGAGCAGCGCCGTCTACAAGTCACTGCAAACTGCCCGTCCGCCTCGACATGCCCGCCGGCCACGCTCGACTCTGCCTCCATCGCCATCGCCATCGCCATTGATCCATTGATTCCCCTAGACACCCACGCGGGTTGGCAAGCCCCGCGACTGCCCCAACCATGGACGACTTCAAGCCCGAGCTGCTCAAGGCCCTCTTGGACTGGGTATGTCCCAAGCCCACCCTCGACTCTATTTGTTTTCCGAGCATATGCAGCTGACATTTTTTTTTCTGCTTGCAGGTCAATACCTTCGACCTGCCCTTTAGAATCACAACGCTGAGCCAACTCGAGGATGGCCAGATTCTCTGGCAGATCCTCAACGATATCGATGCCGACTACTTCAACGAGTCCCTACCTAACTTCGAAGAAAACCACCGCCGCCAATCAGACAATTGGATCCCACGATGGCAGAATCTCAAGCACATCGAGCGCACCACGTCAACATATATCCGCGAAGAGTGCGAGCAACTACCCGTCCTCACAAAACGCATGATACCAGACCTGAAGACGGGCGCTCGTGATGGATCAACTATGCTCGTTGCCAAACTTACAATGGCCGTCTTGCTCGCTGCCTGTTTTTCACCCCGCAGCAACCAACGCATGCTGCAGGTCATGCCCAAACTCGGCACCAAGACGGCCGAAACCATTGCAGAAGCCATCCAGGAAATGCAGGCCTTGGACCAGCGCATGTCAGAACTCGGTGTTGATGCAGAACTGACTTCAGACCCCATCCTCCCCGGCTATCGATCTCCCACACGTGCAGCCTCGGGCCAGCCGCCCGCCCCAGGCAACGAACTCGAACAGGAGGCGCAGTTGTTCGAAGCTAACAAGGACCGCCAGGCATTGAAGGTGCAGGTTGTGAAGCTAACTGAAGAGCTCAAAGCCTCACGAGAGCGCATCGCCAAGCTCGAGGAAGATGTTGCCGAAGCAAGTGCCTACCTCGATATCCGGGCCGGCCAGGCCCAGCGAGAAGAGTCGGACGATGTCGAAAACCTGCGTAACGACTTGTTGCGTGACCGCCAGTATATTGATCAGCTGGAGCAGGATCTGGCCAGTGCCAGGGAGATCATGGACAGCCAGAAACGCCGCCTCGACCGGTTGCAGGCTGAGGAAGGATCGAAACAAGAACTGCGTGACCAACTACAAGTCGTCAAGGCCGAACGTGACGAGTTGAGCCAAAAGGCAAAAGCAAACGAGAACCTTAAGAAGAAGATTGAGTCCCTTACAAAAGAGACGAAGCAACTAGAGGCCCTACGCGAGGACCACCAACAAGCACGCGAAAGGCTAGCACAACTGGAGAATGTCGAGGAAAGGATCGAGGTTCTACAAAACATTATCAAGGAAAACGGCCAGACACTGGCAAACGGCGAGCAAGCCATCTTCGAAGAAAAGGGGAAGCGGACGCGGGTCGAGCATGAGAACCTAATGCTCATGAAACAACTCGAGCAGACACGTGAGTTACAATACAAGGCTGAGGATGCCAAGCAGGAGCTCGAGGAGCGGATACGAGAGCTAGAATCAGCAAACCATGCAAACCAAGGCGATAGTCTAGAAGATGAGCTCTCGCAAGACGAAAACTCACAAGAACCTGAAGTGAAGCCCACATCTGAAGGACGCATCAGCGCAGATGCCATTGCCTTGCAACAACGAGTCGACATTCTCACTGCTCGTTTGAAGTCGCTGGAAAGTGAGACACTCAAGCAAATGCAGGAGAACCTTGGTCTACGGTCGGATATGATGTCGGAGAAGGACGAGACTAGTCAAAAGTAGGGCTGCTTCCTATGATTGTGTTCTTCACCAAGCTAAACAGTGTCTCACACAGGCCCTTTTTGGAACAAAACGAAAAGCTTCAAACAGCCCAGTCAGAACTTGAGGAGCTTCGTCGCCGGCTGCGGGAGCAGGACCTCCAAATGGCAGAACTTCGCAACGAGCTAAATAGGAGTAGGTCACGTGACACATATGCACAACCAAACCATGCTGACCTGTTTGTAGAAGCTGATATTGACGACGATGTGCGGGCGGCGAGCATGCAAAAAGAGCATGAACGTCTGCTGGTGCTGCAAGAGCGGACCAATGACAGACTACGCGAGCTGGAACTTGCAAACGCAGAAAAGTCAGGTCTCTTGCGAGCAGCTTTGCTTGACCGGGACAACCTCCCACCAGAGCTGCTTGAACTCAAGAGGGTCGAAACAATACAGCAGATGCGCGAGATGATAGAGTCAGTTGTCAAGGCACCTCCAGAAACACAGCCCAGAGTCCTGGACGCGACAAGTTCAGAGATCGCCGAGACCATCCTCTCATCAGAGGCAGCCCTGGACAAGGCGAAAAAAGTAAGTAACAAGCAGATTTCCCATACAAAGTCATCTCCTTCCGCCTTTGACGCGGCTGTCATGACCATGAAGCGATATCAGCTTGAGCCGTCGTTGACTGCCGCTACCCTGGTGCAACCGGAATCGCCGCAGAACAGCTACGTCAGAAAGAACAAGTCACTCCTAGAAAAGTCGATTCCGACGGCGGGTGCGGGACAAACTAGTCGGGATCGCATGGCGCCGCCAGTGTTGCCAGAGATGAGCAAACTGCCAGCAATGTGCGAGGATGAGTACTGCATGGATCAGATTCTCAACGACTACGTGGCAAGTTTGTCCCTGGCCTAGCTGCCCGAGTATACTTGTCTTGACGATGTTTTTCTTTCCCTTCTTTCTCGCAATGCATCAAGAATCGAAACTGACTCAGATAACAGGACCTCCAAGACCAGCTCGATATGAACGAGTCACTACGAGTGCAACTCGAAATGGCCAAGGCAGAGACAGCAGAAAGGGGCTCGGTAGGCACCCAGCCACTTTTTCTCACATGCAAAAGACTGACAAAAACAGGCCGAACTTCAGCAAGAAGTCGAGAACCTCCGGCGCGAGAACGCGCTGGTCAAGTCGATGTGGTACGACATGAACCAGCGACTGCTGAGCAACACGGTTATCCTGCAAAGACGCAGCGAAGCACCCAAAGGCTGGCTCGGAAAACAGCGAGCCGCTGTTGGAGGAGGCGCAAGCGTCTTAGTACGTCAGCTTCCCTCCAAACAAACTTGATTCTAAAGTTACTAACTAGGTGACACAGGGCCGGAGGTAGTAGGAGCAGGGCCACAGAACCAACTTTCGCGAACAGACGGACCGCTCGTGTCGTTTCTGTTTATTGTCCACCTTGTCGGGCCCCAGAACCAGGTGTGGTTCAGCATAGCGCAGGTTTGGTGGCATTTATATTGCGTCAAGATGTATAGACGGATAGTCTTTTGTCACTTATACCCACTTTTATTCATTTGCATGTAGCGCGGGAGTTTGCTGATGAAAGAGAAGGTTTTTTTATTTTGTACATTTTCTTGTCTTGAAAGTTTTTTTTGTTACCACACTCTAAAAAGAATATCATGTTTGAAAATTATCGTGTTGAGAAGACAATTACATGTGGCAGGTTAGGCAGGCATATGCCGGTCTACACTGCCATATCAGAGCAATGAAAAAGTTAGTCAGAGAAAATATATGAAGTCGAACAGCCATTATTATATTAATCCCCTTGCAACTTATTACCTATTAGTCACTTCAGTCAAGCTCACCCACCTTCTTCTTTCCCTCACCTTCCATGTCATCAAAAAAAAACAATAATAACATCCCAATTACACCATTTCCGGACCTTTCGCCCCGCGTCAACTCTTCTCCGTACGAACCACACAGACCTGCCTCTTGCAGTTTGCGCATTGCCCCCCGTCACAATACCACTATCCCCGATTAGGAAAGCGACAAGATGGATATCGCGGTGGTTCCAAGACTTTTGCTTGGCGGGTTTGTTTGTATCCTGAATCCCCTCCCCTACCCCCGCCCAATCACTTTTATTGGCTTGTTTCCTTGCTGGGAGGAGGAGTGTGTAGGGACTTTTTTGGGTAAGGTGACGGGGCGCAGTTGGGTGAAGTGGGGAGGATGGGACGGGGATTGGGGTGGGTAAAGGTAGCGTGAGGGGAGGGGGGAAGGGTAGTAATATAGTATATATTGGAGGTGACTTGTTTGCTGTGATTTTTTTTCTGCTTGGATTCTTTTCACTTCACTTCTTTTTACTTCCTCTGTTACGCCCTCTTGATTTTCCCCAAAGGTAGCTTCTCGATCAAGTGGTCAAGGAAAGAGAAGGAAAGATGAAGTCGCTTGGTCTTCTCGCTACTGTTTGCGCTACTGCTGCGCTGGCAAAGGGGCCGGAGCGAGTTAGCAATGCGGCGAGGAGTATTACGATTGAAGTTGCGCCGGGGGAGACGCGCCAGATTACTGAGGATGAAAGGTGGGATATTGCTACGGTGAGTTTGTGGTGGTGTTGAGACATCTTTTTATTACCACTCTCTTTCCCACCCCCCTTCCCCCCACGCAAACCTCTTTCTTTATTACAGTTCCCTTTTTTTTTGTTGATACTGACGATAACCCCCAGGGCGGCGGCTGTGGAAGCCACTTCTTCGACATCACCGACTCGTTTGCCGAACCCATAGCCGTCACACGCGCGGCCGCCTACCCAACCAGCTTCCAATACAGCGCCAACATCCGACGCCTATTTCCCTCGCTCAGCTGGGCCAACATCAAGAAAAACCTCGAGCAATACTCGACCTTCCATACGCGCTTCTCTGAAACCCAATCTGGCGCCGACGCCGCCCAATGGCTCCTCGCCCAAGTGCAAGCCGTCGTCAAGGCAGCCAACAAACCAGGCGTATCCGCCTCTGCATTCCCGCACTCGCTCTGGCCCCAAAACTCAATCATCGCCCGCATCCAAGGCCGCTCCAACCGCACCGTCGTCGTAGGCGCCCACCTCGACTCCATCAACTCAGCCAACCGCCTCACCGGCCGCGCCCCGGGCGTCGACGATGACGGCAGCGGCTCCATGCTTCTCCTCGAGGCCCTTCGCGTGCTCCTTACCGACTCGGCATTCGCCGGCTCCAACAACCTCTTGGAAAACACGATTGAATTCCACTGGTACGCTGCTGAGGAGGGCGGGCTCCGCGGCAGCCAGGACATCTTCACGCAGTATAAGAATGCAGGCAGAGATATCTGGGCCATGTTGCAGCAAGATATGGTAGGTTACACGAAGGGGACGTTGAATGCAGGGAAGCCTGAGAGTTTTGGCTTGATTACGGATTTTACGGATGCGGTGTTGAATCAGTATCTGGTGGGCGTCATTGGTGAGGTACGTTTATATCCCCATTTCCCTTACGGTTTCCCCCCCCCCCCTTTTTTTTTGCCACGAGGAGAAGCGAGGTGGAACAAGGAAGAAAGAAGATGAATACAACGATACTGACGTAATTTCAGTACACCGACATTACCTACGTCAACAGCACGTGCGGCTACGCATGCTCCGACCACGGATCCGCCATGCGCAGTGGATACCCCGCCTCATTCGTCTTCGAATCAGACTTCCGCTACCGCAATCCGTACATTCATACTCCGAATGATACCATGGAGCATATGGATCCTAACCATGTGCTTCAGCACGGACGCTTGGTGCTAGGTTATTTGTATGAACTGGGATTCAGCAAGGCCTAGGTTTGTTCTTTTTCTTTTTTTTTTACCAAAGGGGCGGGGGCTTTGCTGTGTAGATGTGAATATGGGATATGAAATTTTTCCTGATGAATCATGTATATATTTACAAAAAGAATTCCAGATATGATTTTTTTGACTCGTGTATTGTTGGACTTGTTTTTCTTTTCGGAGGGTTCATCTATAGATTTTTGTTAATGGTTAAGCAAAGGGAAATTATCCATACGCTCTATGCTTCGTCATACTGTTTCCCTGGTAGTTCGGGCATATCGATTCTTATTTCAGCAAGAAGACATAAAAGAGAGAAAGACTATGACGATCGGACATGGTGAGACAGGACCCGTTTGAATCTCGAGGTCACGAGGGCATGCTGAATAAATGAAGTTGGGTAACGCATTGACATCTGACATGAGCTAGATAAAGGTACGTAGATCAAGAATGAGAAAACAACCTCACGACTTCCAAGAACACTATTTTCTTCGAGAAGCATTCACATATACAGAGCCATTGTGTACAGATATACAACTCCAACACACTATGTTTCCCTCTTCATCCACTATCTACTCAGTATATTGTACTCCACCACTTCCAACAGCCGCTAGTACCATACTATCCCCACCAGACGACACCCCCTAGTACTCGGCCAGTCTCAACCTCCTCCCAATGTTCCTGCGTATCACGTCGCGCTCGACGGGTTCGACTTGTGCTCGATTGGCGTTGAGCGCCTGACGGAGCATACCCGCGTCGAAGAAGCCATCTATGCACAAGAAGAGCAACAATCAGTATAATGAAATCTTTGGAAAAGAAAATCTGCGTCTGTGTGGGGGGAGAAAGAAAATGTGAATCAATAAAGTCTTGGACACAAATCTTGCAGGAGAGATCAAAATGCTAAATTGCAGAAGTCTGGAAAGAGAAGAAAGAAGTCAAGAAGAATAGAAAATTGGCTTCTTCTTTGCCGCAGACGCTCCCTGCGTCCCCTGCCTCGCTCGCACCGTCTTGAAAACAGCTATCGGCTTCTTCTGCGAGCTCGACAAGACCGCCGTCATGGGCTTAAACGGCGGAGAGTGAGGCGGAGTCGGCGGGAGGTGCATAGGCGGAAAAGAAGAAGCAGAAGAAGAGGAATCGACACTTGAGGTATCGCCAAGGGAAAGGGAAGGAGGGGAAGGGGGAGTCCTACATCCACCTAGACCATCGTCTTCTTCTTCATCTGCGACGCTCTCTGAGGGCGTCTGTTGTTTGGCTCCGTCGCCGAGGATGATTCTTCCTCTACTCTTGAGGCGAGTAGCCAGTGGTCTGTCTTCTGCCTCGCGCGCGCGTGTGGCCGTCTTGTCAGTAGAAGTACCACGGCGTTTGATCTGTCGTAGTAGCTTGCGGATCTCCAAAAAGTAAGATTCCAGTGCATCGATAAAGCGGCTTGTCTGTCGGTGCTTAGAAGATGCACAAATGGAGATGCTGCCGTCTTTGATGATGTAACCAATGCCGAATCCCTCAGCGGAAGTGGGACCGAAACCAAATTGACGGAGAGAAGGGTTTCCGCAATTTGAAGTGGAAAGAATCGTCGTGTTGATCTTATCCCAACCGGCGTCTGCGAACAGTGCCGGCATTGAGTGCTGTACTGGGGAAGGAGGTGGTGAGCTAGAAATAGATCCATTTTCTGAATGCGTCGAATTACGGTTGGGTGAAGCAACACCGGAAGCATCGGGACTAGATGGTCGTGTTGAGTCCCAGCCGTCGCTGCTAGCCATATCTTGAGACTCGTCAATGGCGCGCTGCCATATACAATACAGGGCATACAAATGCCTGTCTGGTCCTTGAGCCTTTGAACAAATCTTAGTATTCTCCGTGTGCTTTTGGCAGGCTTTGCGAAGTGCGTCAATCTTTTGACTCGCGGGATTTTCGCCCCAAAATGTCTTGAGAAACTCGACCGACTCTTCTGTGACGGATCGAATAGCTTCAGTTCGTCCATGGTAGTAGATCTTAGTCATGGCAGGCTCGTATACACACTCAATCCTCCCATACAAGCCGTAGTAAGCAGCCTGGAAGGCCATCTGAACGAAAGCATCGGGTGAGAAGCCCATCGAGGTCATAAAGTTCTTTCCATAGTGGGGAAATTCGAGGGTAGCGAACTCATTCTGCTGGATAAGGTCTGCTAGACGTGTCTCGGCGAAACGCAGAGCCGTACCCAGCTCAGGAACCATGTCCCACTCAAGCTTGTGAGGCGTAGTTTGAACATCGCCGAAGCTCTCGGGGTCTCGCTTCGCAGGGTCGGGGCTTGACGAAGCCCACAGACTGGGTGCACTGCCGTTGATGGTTCTAGCGAAGCGGAGAATAGTGTCGGTATATACGTCGGAAGCGAATCGAAGGACGGTATGGCCATCAACACCAGTGTGTTCAAAATTGATACCTGCGCTTCCGTTCTTGCAAACGATAATTTGCAACTTGTCGTACCAACGGTTTGTGCATGTGCCAACCTGCACTCCGCGCTCAATCTTGCTTGTACCACAGAGCATGTTCATGCAAAGGTCCGCGCCAGTCTGGGGCTCGGTATAATCGAGACAGAGTACGAATAGAGCGGAATCAACAATGTTCAAACAATCAGAATTGTTTGAACCTTCTTCCCTGTGCAGTACATCACGCAGGCCAGCCCACACCTTTCGGTTTTCTGTGCTCAGCACACCTATTGCGCCCTTGGCAGCTTCTTGGATCGGGACTTCTTGCGCATCATCAATAATCACCTGCAGGTTAAGGGCGATGTCCTTTTCCGTCATGATCAAATCGTGGTTGTCGTCCATGACATCGAACCAGTAAACTTGGCCATGGCACATGACAACGATGTGTTTTGAGGTTGGGTCCTGGCCGATTTGGCATCCATGTTCAGTTGGTATTCTGGCCGTGCCGAACAAACGTGAGTACTGGTACATGCAAAGGGGCTGTCCACGGACGGTGTCAGGAGGTAGCTCCTCTCGACGGACGGCTCTGACAAAAGCAAGCGCCGAGACGACTAGTGACGCTGCACGAGTGACTTGGTTGTTGCGAGCAGGGGTAGGGTCATCTTCCAGTAAGAAGAATGGGTTTAGATTGAGTACGACTGGGTTATCGAAATTCAGATACGAGTCGTACCCTGATGGTGGTCAGCGCATGCATGATGACATTGATTGATAATGGAGGGGCTTACAAAACTGTTCAATGTAGTTGGCTTTTCCACTAGCATACTTCTTCAACTTTTCTTGCAAGACCGGGCCATCGGATTTTAGAAAGTCTTCTACTGCATGTACAGTGTCGTTATACTCTTTGGGTGTCTGGAGAGGCTTGAGGGCGGCAAGGTATTTTTTGCATGAGCTGTCGAGCTCTGGAATGGGAAGTTTGGGAAGACTGTCCTGATGGGCAAAGGTGATGCCTGGCCTCGAGTTTGGGTTGGTGTGGTTTGCTAAGGGAGCTTGTGCTTCAGCTGGATAGGACTGTGTGCTGTTCCTTGCAGATTCCTCGGAACGAGTTGCTTCCTCTTTGGACATGTTGGATGCTTTCTGGAGAGTATCCTCTAGAGACGAAGGCTGGGTAAATTTACGAACTGCCATGGCGAGAAGAGTCAGTTAGGCGTAGAGAGGAGAGATGGAAGTGGCAATGTTGAGATGCCGCAAGGCACTGCGATAGAAGTAGTGGCAGTCTTGAAAACAGTAGGCCGGCATGGGTACTCTGAAGTTGTCAAGAGTGTCGGGGTGCATGGGCATGGGCAGGATGGTCTTATTATAAAGGCCAGGACGGACGGAGAAAAACAGCACTAGGTAGGGATCCACTTGGCAACTGGGCATGTGAAAGGCTCTGCAAGCCAGGGCAAGAGGATGCAAGCAGCCAGCCCAAGCAGCCGACCGCCGACTCGGTACGTGACCCGTTTAGGGGCAGACGGGAGGAGTGAATGACCCGAGACTTACCTGCTGGCGCCAACCCGGCCTAGACAGGGGGCTAAAAGAGTATGGGCGTTTGTCCAGAAGTGTCGAGTTTTGATGAGCTGGGGGCAGTCAAAGTGATTTTCTTGTGCAACGACTTACTAGGCAGCTGTGGGCGAGCCGGTGGACTTGGGGCCCCAGGCGCAAGGTGATGAGGGATAAAAAGCCGGAAAAGATCAGCCGCGGGCCAGAAGAGCAAATGGAGCGAGGGAGAGAGAGACTCGGTCGTGAGGATACGGCATGCGCGTAGGGCTGTTATCCCGAGGAGGACTAGTGGGCCTGTAGGTAATCAGGTCATAGAGCCACGGACGAGTGGAAGTATCGGCGGCAGACTGGGGAGCTTGCACACAGCAACCAAGCCCAAGCATGCGCAGATGGGGCCGCGTATCGAGCGGGAGTGTCTGAGTGATGACGGCAACCTGGCTGTCGATGGCGAGACTTGGGACGAGGCAGTTGTAGAGCACATGATGCCCGCCTTTCCCCAGGTTTCTCCCATTGTCGTCATGTCATGGGAGCTCTGGTGGGCTGTGGCGGGGGAGATGTGGCTGATGCACGCGGTGCCAAGGCGTGGAGAGGTGGGGGGACGGCTGTGGGTGTGGCGCATGTCATGTTATGTTCATGGGGAATCGGAATCGGAATCGGAAATACTATTACAAAGAAGAATAGTTAGTTAGTACATACTACACTGCTATACTACTCTCCTTCACTCTGCAATGACACTAGGCCCATGACGGATCTGCTGCACGTGCTGCCGGACTTTGATGCCACCCCATTCTCCCATCTGCTACCTTCGCTCGACAAGGCCCTCATCACCACCAATGACGTCCTCACTCTCGACGCGCCCACCATCGCCAAACGCGCCCAGGTGCCCACCGGCGAACTGAGGAAGCTCGCAGATGCCGTGGTTGCTGCCCTGCACCGTCAGCTTGGCTTCGGGCCAGAGGAACCTGCCCCCACTCCCAAGCGCGACTGGGCTTGCATCAGCACCCTCGATGACGAGCTCGATGCTGCCCTGGGCGGCGGCATCCCGCGTGGGTACCTGGTAGAGGTGACGGGTGAGAGGTTCGTCCTGCCCATCCGCCATCCCCGCCGCACCAGAGTCGTTGAACTAACGGCTTTTCTAGCGGCGCCGGCAAGACGCAGCTGCTTCTGACCCTCCTCTTGGCCTCTCAGCTCAAGCCGCCCCACGGCTTCGCAAAGTCGGCAGTCTACATCTCCACCGAAGCTGTCCTGTCCACCACCCGTCTTGCCCAGCTATTATCCACCCACCCGGCTCTAGTTGCCCTCCCCGATGCTGAGAAGCCTTCACTATCACGCATCCTGAGCATACAAACGCCCGACCTCGAGTCGCAAGAGCATATTCTGCGCTATCAACTGCCCGTCGCAATCAAGAAGCATGACGTAGGCCTCGTAATCCTCGACTCTGTCGCGGCAAACTATCGCGCCGAGTTCGACAAGCAAAGCGGTGGAAATGCTGCTGCATCCATGGCACGGCGTGGCACACAGCTCGCTCAGCTCGGCGCCTTGCTGAGAGAGCTTGCGCGTACAGAGGGCATTGCCATTGTCGTAGCAAATCAAGTAGCCGACCGCTTCACCAAAGCCCCATCTGCTGCTGCGTATTCCGCTGCATCTTCAAACGCTGCCTCACGCACCACATCTGCAAATAGCCAGGGCAACGCTACCCGCACCACTTCTACCGGTAGCCAGCCCAACGATGCTGTGCCTCCACTACCGTCACAGCAAGACCAAGCCCTCCTTCTCTCGCCCGACCCACTAAGCCTCGACCACCAACAAGCCTGGTTCACCGGCTGGGGCGACTCCCCCTACGAGCAAATACATGTACAAAAGACGCCTTCGCTTGGCCTCGTCTGGACAAACCAAATTGCATGCCGTATCGCGCTTAAGAAGCAACCCGTATTTGCAAGCAGACCGCTCATCCATACGGTCAATGGCCAGGACGAGTGGGCCGACGAAGAGCGTCACATTTCCAAATGGCGACGCTGGTTCAAGCTCGTATTTGCGCCTTGGGCCCCGCCCTTGCCGGGACGCGGCATCGAGTTTGAGATCCAGAAGAGTGGCATCAGACATGTGGTCAAGGAGGGGAGGAAATAGCAATAGTATTGACTTGAGTACTAAGCATTGCACCACCTCTGATTTGAATACATCTTCTCAAACTTAGATCATGGTAGACATGCTGATGCCACGTTGTCTTTATTTCTTTATTTCTAGAAGTGTCTAATAAACCACGTATCCCATCTCTCTGAATAAGAAAGACCTTTTCCACCCATCTACTACCATTGGTAGTAGACACCGTTCTAGCACAAAAAACGTTTCAGAAAACTATCAGAATGCAAAAAAAAGAGAGAGGTTCAGTCTCCACAAATGATTATTGTACATGAATCTTGCCCTGGAAACGTTCCCATCAAGCCCATCCTCCCAAACCCCCCCACCAATCCCATAACCCAGTCCCTACCCTTTTCCTTATCCTCCCCAAAACACCCTTCCTTCTCAGAGCAGATCCTTGAAATACCCGAAAATCCCTCTAGTCCGTAACCTTCCAGCTGTCGAGCCACTTGAGGTGTCTCCATTGGCTGCTTGGTCCCACCATACCAAACGAGATGGCGCGGAAGAACCAGTACAGACCGATCACGAGCACATACAGCGCCGTGAAGATGCCCCACTGCACCTGCTTGGGCAGCTTCCTCGTGCTAAAGTCGAGGCAGAAGCCCATGACGAGAATGGCAAACCACAGAGCCGGGTAGTAGTGGTGCACGTACGTCACACGGCCCATAGCCACAAACGGCACGTAGTGCAGGAACCATCCGATAACCGGATAGATGCCCGCGTAGTGAATCTGGTCAATCTCCCACTGCTTAAGATCGTCGTATCCGCGTTGCCATCGTACCAGGTAGAAGAACACAATCAGAGCAAAGATGCCTAGCGAAGCTGTACTGCCCCAGTAAATCGCTGGGTTACCGAGCAAAAAGTACTTGACAACTGTTGTCATGTTAGTGAATTGTCAACAGGAAAAAAAACATGTCTAAACTTACTGTCATCATTCCAACCGCACATGCGAAGACCAACGTGGAGGATAGGCCACTGCCAGAAGCTCGACGCAAGATCATCTTGCTTGTCAGGATCAGGAACCAGCGCATTGTTCGACGTCATCATGGCAACGTTGAGATGGATAAAGTCCTGCAGGAAAGGTGATTTGTAGTCGCCCGGGTTACCTGGCGGCAGTCTTTCGTTGACGTGGCTTTCGATGTTCCAGTGTGTGTAGACATCGCGCGGGCTGTTCTGTTTCGTGCAAGTCGTCTCAATTTGTTTGAATCCCCACTGGGGCAGGTTGACGTTGCCCGCGCGAAGATAACACCCGAGATCCTTGTGTCTAAGACGGAAAGCTGTAGTGAGCGTGCGGAGCCTCGAGTGATCCCTGGAAGAAGCGTCGCGGACTACCTCAACAACCCAGTGGTCCTTGGTATCTCCAACAGTCGTGTTGCCGTAACAAGAAACTTCCCAGTCGCTCTTAGTAACAGGAGCTGCGACTTGATGTGAGTGGAGGTTGCGACCGGTCTGAGCGTGGATAAGACGGATAACATCGCCATTGCCGGGAAATCGGAGCTCTTCGTCTGGCTGGTATGGGACCTCGTGGCGGTTAGGGTAGAAGAACCAATCGTTGTTGGCGTCCTTGTGGTGGTAGCAGGTAACTTGTTGTTGTCCGGAACCTTCGGGATACGTCTGAACGTGAGAGTGTAGCAGTCCACCACCGTATCCCATGTTCTTCAGGGTGGCACGGGAGCCGTACGCAATCTCCAATGGGCTGTCCTTGCCAACCTGGGTTCCTCTCAGATTTGCCTGGAAGAGGGAGCTCATCTGGGCGTCACCGGGTCCGCTGTTTTCGAGGATGATGAAGTGGAGGTAGAAGGAGAACATGTAAACGGCGAGCGGAATGAGTATAAGACTGAAAACTCGGAAAGCAAGGTGCATGGCGAGCTCGACCTGGGCATGTCAGCTTAACTAAATGACAAATGGTCATATAACATACCTTGGGCATCTTGAGGTCACCAAACTTGTGCCAGAGATCTTCGGCTGTGTACAGTCCTACCAAGGCGGTGACGAAGAAACCAACCCACTTGACACTGCACACGCATCCAATTGAAACACCAGTCAACATCAACCACAGACCCCATTCCGGAGAGAAGGGGTCGTTTCGCAGGCGGTGAAACTTGGACCAGCAGAAGACGGTTGTAAAGGTGAAGCAGAGAAGCATCGAGTCGAGAAGGATGAAGCGACTGATCGTGGTGTACGAATTCTCGCAAAGAACGGCCAGTGTGATGAACCATACAGTCGGTCTGCGGAAGTTCAATTCCCTCGCGGTAAAGTATGCCAACGGAATACAGACAGCGCCAAAAGCCGAGTTGAAGAGGCGCATAAAGGTGTAGTCGAGTTCCTCGGGGTATTTCTCTCCTGACTTGAACTCAAACGAGCCATTGTATCCTGCAAGGTATCCGGATAGACCAACGAGCATTTTGCCGAGCGGGGGGTGGACATCGAAATAGAACTCGCGCTTGAGGTAGTGTGAACCGAACTTGCCAAAACTGTCTGTAGTCAGAACCTGGTTCGCATACGTGGTAGCAGATGTGCTTACTGGGCCTCGTCCCATGTCACAATCGGCGATAGGCCAATCTTGTACATGCGCGTGAAGAAGGCGAAGAAGGTAAATATAAGAGGAGCCCAGATAACCTCGTACTCGTCAAGCAGCGAGATGATGCTGAAAGGCTGTGCCCAAGTTAGCAAAGGACTCGGCGACCATCATTTGGCGGGCAGCTATAATGCCGCGTGGATAGGAGGGCATACCTTGTCCTTTGACTTTTCCTTGTCCGGTACCTGTATCGTTGGTGGCGCGGAGGCATCTTGTCTTGTTGCTACATTTCTCCTGCGTAGCTCTTCGGCTTGCGCATCAGCGCCCGTTGCGTGGGCGGTTGACGCCATTGTGGGAGCGGCTTTTCCGTCTATGATCGATGAAGGATATCGTTGCCGGGTAGTGTAAGAAGACTGAAAGGGACCCGTGGCTTCAAATACGAATTGGGGGGTTCAACGAGTAGTTGGTACCACAGGAGCTGCACGACCGCTCGGTGCAGCCGTACGCAAGCAGGTGGACTTGAGGAAAAGCAATCAAATTAAAGTGGCCGCTGGGCCGTACGATGAGAAAAAAAGGCCCACGCACAATGAGGGCATAAGAGGCGCAAAGAAGAAAAGGTCGATGGACCAAAGTCGCAGTGCTGCAGAATCGAGGAGGTGGGCTGTCCCGAATTGGATCTACGAGCAAAGGGAGCTAGCCGCCCGAGTGCAAGGGGAGAGGCGACACTTGTTCACTTTGCTCTCTCACACTCAGCCCCCATCACATGAAAGCCCCAATCCACGCAGTCTAGACGCTTCCAAGCTCATGGCACTCGTTTCCGTCAACGTATCGCAATGATCCAATGATTGCTCTGCAGAGTGAATGAGTGGTCAATTTGGGTTGGTTGCTACTATTCTGGGAGCGGGCCTAGGGACATGGCACTTGCGCACGTCACCAAACTCAAATCCCAGTCGCAAAAGATGATCAAAGCCAGGGTCTATATGTAAAATATAGTAGCCCTCGGTGTACATAATATGTAGTACATTCTAGGCATTTGCAAGTTGATGTGATCTTGACATCACAGCTTGAACCCCAGACAAAGTTGCATATGTATAGAGAACATCAGCAATTGGAAGCATCCAGTAATGATAAAGAACCTCCCAGATGGGATCTTAATTGGCAAACTTTCTACCCAATCGGGACACAGATTACTGAAAACAAACGCCCTGCCAATGCTTTACACTCTCTATCGACCCAAAACACTCTCTTATCCACCCGCTTGCTCGCGGTATGCTAACATTGCCGTAGCCTGCGGCCGCAGCAAAATGCAGACACATATGTAGGAAATGCGAAATCATGTACATTTGCACTGCTGCAGGGGCCGTCTAGTCCTCGTCCTGTCCAATCTGCTTGTACTTTCCACCACGCGAGCTGTTGCTTTCGCCATTGCCCTTTGTCCTCTTGACCATGTTGCTGATCCAGCCACCAATACCGTCGCCATTGTCGGTACCAGCCTTGGACATGTCCTTGTTGCCACCTTCGACTTCTGGAGGGTCGATGCTGAGTCCGGGAATGGCCTCGTCGGGAGCACGGCGTCCGCCCCGGATGTCGAGAGAAGGCACAGGTGAGCCACGGCCTTCACCACTGAACATGGATTCGGCTTGCGCAATCGTCTCAGGTGTGGGCATGACGGAGGTGGCGTCTCCAAACAGCGAGTTCATGTCTTCAAGACGAACGTTGGCAGTTTCAGGGTAGATGAAGTATACTACCGCCATGTCAGCATATTACTTTTATCTTGGTATTGAGCTCCAGACTTACCGATAACAAAACTGACAGCGCAGAAAAAGGCGTGGATGAGGTACAGGCGCCACTGGATGTGCTCTTGGAGGATGGGAGTCATTTCTCCTACAAGCCAGTTGAATGCCCAGTTGGTAGCGGTACTCAAACTGGCGCCCTTGGCACGAATGCTGAGTGGAAGAATCTCAGGCGGGTACAACCAAGGAATAGGTCCCCATGAGTATCCAAATGCGGCGTTGTAGATCATGACAAATATGACGACCATGTTGGGTGTCCACGAAGCTTGCAGGAAGATGAAGTAGGAAATGGCAGATAGGGAAACCAACATCATGAGTGCTCCAGACAAGAGAATCTTGCGGCGACCGAGTGTGTCGACAATGTACCATGGTGGGATAGTGGACAACAGGTAGGTAATGGCGTTAATGCCAGTCATAAGGATGGCCTGGCGACCGTACCAGCCAGCTTCTTCAAAGACCAATGGTGCATAGTACGAGATGACGTTGATTCCGTTGAGTTGAGCAAGGGCTTGGGCGGACATGGCAATAAAGACGCGTTTGGAGTATCGTTTGAACATGTCGGCATAGGAACGTTCACCTTCTTGTCGCTGGAGCAGGACGTTCATCTTGATCTCTCGGTATTCATCTCGTGCTTTTGGGTTGTGGATATCGCCCTTTCCGTACAAATTGGCAATGACTACAATGCCCTCCTCGTCGTGATCATTATCCAAAAGCCATCTGCGCGAATTAGCATACGTCGAAAGCTGTGATCAAAGACAAACCTTGGCGATTCGCAAATGAGCAAGCTACCTCCAGCAAGGAGAAGACCCATGATGCACTGCATGAAGAGAGGAACTCTCCAGGACCAATCATTCTTGATGTAGGTGCAGAAGTAGTCGACCCACACACTGACAGCGTATCCAGCAATGTTGCCCGTGAACTCGATACAGCCCATCTTTCCTCTGTTGTGCGGCGGCGAGATTTCGGACTGGTACACGGGGACGATTGTGGACAGTGTACCGACACCAAGACCAGCAATGACCCTACCTAGCAGCATCATAGGAATGCCATTGGCAAAGGTCTGGAGAGCTCCACCAACAACGAAGATGAGCGAGCCGTAGAGAATCGTCTTTCGGCGGCCCAGCACATCACCAATGCGACCGACTACCAGTGAAGAGATAAAGGCACCAACTTCCAGAATGGCCACCATTGTGCCAAGCTCAGCAGCTGTAGGCTGATTGAAGTAGTCTTTAAAGTATACGCCCCTGTGGTACAATCAGATTATGCTCGAATCGGGATGGGAGTAGGACGGCGCACGTAATGATTCCGGACATGACACCCTGGTCATAGCCAAACAGGAAGACACCTAGTGAGACGAAGACACTGGTGAAGTAGCTGGTACTGTTAGCGACATTGAGGAAAGAGGGTAGGATGTTGTTTGAAACGCACATCAACTTCTTGCCGTGCAGCCCGTGGATACGGGACGGGCGGTCGTTGGGAGCCATGATGGCGGCGAGGATGCGCTCAGCCTTTGAGATTGTGCGAGGACCTGGATCGGGAATGTCAATGTCCTCTAGGCGGATGCCTTGGGCACCTTTTTCGTGCAAGTCGTGGTCAGCGAAGCGGGCGCGCTTCTGTTGCCGACGTGGGTTGGATGAGGAGTAGTCTTGTTCAAGATGCAGGCGCAGGGGGTCTTCGCGGTCGGCAAGCTGGTCGACGAGATCGCCCGTGTCTGACCAGACGGACAGATCGGACTCGGACGAGGGCGTGTCCAAGGAGGAGCGGGCGCTGTCCTTATCGTGGTCGTCAAGCAGATAAGCAGAGTCGTGCTGGCGTGGGCGAGCAGAGGACGAGAGATTGTGGAGTGGGATGTTGGCGGGCCTCCGGCTGCTACTCGAGTGTGAAGGAATGGTGAAGGTTGCGAGCTGTTAGGGAGCAGCCCGTCTCCAAGGTAGGGATGGGAGAAGCAACGAAAAGAGAGGTGCGTCACAGGGACAGGTCAAGCTGCCAAAAGTGGTTGGGGTGTGGATAGGACTAGCGCGAAAGCGGTGAGCAAGTCGGTCACATCTGGCTACACACACACGAGCGAGGGTTTTGGGGGCAGGATGTGTACATGCGTGGATCGAGGGTTGGGTGCATGCGAACAAAGATAGCTGGGCGGCGATTATGCTTGGCAAGGGCCAGTGGGAGCGGATGGAGACAGTCGGGAGAGGCTCTTTGCTGCTTGGACGGAACGACGGCAAGCCGGCATGGGGGGGGGTGCTAGGATGGGTGGATAGGAGAAGGTTTGTGCTATCTAGTAACATGTTTTGTTTTGGAGGCAATTGTTTATCATTTCTTGAGGGCTGATTGCGAGAGGGAGGGACCAGTGTGTGTGTGTGTGTGCAGAGGTGCAAGACAAGACAGGGTGCTGTACGAGTATGACGATTATGACGAGTCCCTGGTAGTCATGCAGGCTGGTGGAGACGAGTCACGTTGGGGGGAGGTTGTGTGCTAGTATGTTAGTAGTATCGTGGACTGGAGCCCCGCATAGACGAGGCAAATGGGATGTGGGTGTGAATGTGGATGCAGAGCACATGGCATGGGGAAAGAGAGCCGCAAGTAGTAGTAGTAGTAGTAGTGTGGAATGTGTAGAATAGAGTGCAGTTGTGCCCTTGTTGCGGCATTCGGGATGAGGCGGCTGTCTGTCACATGCCTTGGTACTGCCATGCCTGCAATGTTTACCAGAATAGAGACACTGCGGGACAAAAGGCAGGGCAAGTGCAAGCAAGGGCCATGGCTGCAACAATGCCGTGTCGGTCGGTCGATCGATTCCACATGCGCACGTATGTCATCGTGGCAGGCATGTTTTTTTGCATCTACTTCTATAGTTGCTTACTACACATGTCGGTACATGCAGACTACAAGTCAGTTTGGTATGCTTTGGCCGGCAGCCGCCAGACGTCATTTCACCGCCAGGTCCGCACCAGCGATGCAGCAGCCGCCAGCACCCAGCATCCAGCATCCAGCACTCCCCCCACGGCTGCACGCTGCACGTCGCACGCTGCACGCTCACCTTGGATGAAACACGCAGACAGCAGACATGGCTGTCCTTTTTTCCCGCACCATGCCACGACGAGCGCCGCTGCCGAAGACGACGACAATGGCGACATGTATGTGTAGCGTGCTGCCCCGAACGACCAAAAAGAATGGCAGCGAACGGCAGGGCCGCCTGTTTGGCACGGCCAGCCCCGTGGCCTGTTTGGGCGCTGGTGGCTCTCTGCTAAGCATAATAAGTATGCTGCCGCTCACCGCACGGCCCCGGCGTGGTGGAGACGGCGTAGCGCCATAGCAGCCGCCCGCCATTGGCTGCGCCCGAGATTAAACGTCTTTGCTCGCCATTGTTCCACCTCAGGCGTCAGGCTGGCTGCTCGTCCAGAGTGACAGTAATTACCATTCAAGCACTGCAGAAGCCCTCCGCCCTCGTTTGCATCAACTCTCCCAAATTGCCCTCACCACACCTCAATCTCCGCCCCCCCCGCTCCCAAACACCACCCTAGCCAACCTCGCGCCCACCCGCCCTTCCTCCCAGCCATACACACTGTCCCCACCCACCCCGGCACCCAAACCCCCAAAGCTTGGCTTTGTGCATCGTTTCAAGGAAGCTCCCCCAGCCACGCCCGCCCGGCGACGTTGCTGGCGCATCATCCCTCGCTGTCTTCCTCTCAACACCAACCCTTCCACGCCGCCCGCCCAACTCACGCCCGCTGTTAATCGCCATTGCGCCCCTCTGTCTCTGCTCTCTCCCCAGAGACTGATTTCACTACCCCTGCACAGACCTGACGCGCCTGTCTCCAGGGCTGCGCTTCCCTCGCCCTAGTAGTAAACAGCAAACATGGTCAATTCATACGGCGAGTTTGCAGACTTTTGTAGAGATTCGGGCAACCAATGGAGCACTCTACCAGGTACGACGCCCCCCGCCCTGCATTCTGCACCTGTAAATACTTTTCAATGCTGACCTCTTACAGTTTGTTATGTACGTTGCTGACGCTCCACCCCTTTGCGCCTGCCTTCTTCGCCCTCAACCCGCTAACCGCTTTTTCTCCACAGCTCTTCAACCCAGCATCCACCAAAAACAACAACGGATGGCAGGGCGGCTGCACTCTCAGAGGCTTTCCCGTCGGCGGCGGTCGCAATTTGCATAATTTGGGTATGTGCGCCTGCCGCTTCCAAAAAAACACAATCGTGCTCACTTCCTCAGGGTCCATATTGCTATGCGCCATTGCTCTGCTCGTCTCTCTATTCCTACTATGGCGATCGCAAAGGAAGAAGGCTGCCGTCGGCAGAAGGTGCGTACTTGGCTACGGAGCTGTCTGAGCCTCGACTAACCATGCGCGCAGAGAAATGCAAGTTTTCCTTATCGGCTACATGATCATATCTATTTGCGAAATATTCACCATTGGCGGCTTCCCTCTCGACGATAAGGTCCGCATCGTACGTTTGTCGACTTCCCCAGTCCTGAATGCCATCTAATCTATATGCAGGTTTTTGTTGCCATTCATATTGCTGCCATCACCGCGACTTCTTGGATACTCATGCTCAACGGCGCTGTGGGCTATCAGCTTCTTGATGACGGTACAGCCGTATCCATTGGTCTCCTCTTGGGCTCGGCAATCGTTATTTTTATCGGTACCGGTTACATTGCTCTTGATACTGGCCTCGGTTGGACCGGCTACTGGAACTCGACCCTTAACGCGCCAAACAAGGCATATGCTCTGTACACGCTCTACCAGCTTGTACCCTTGTTCTTCATCGTCGTCTTCTTCCTTCTCGAGGCCTTTCTGGTCCTGCGCGTCCTTGGCGAGCGCAAACCCATGCGTAAGTGCTCTTATCGATGATGTAAACTGCGCATCCGCTAACCTGCATCATCAGTATATCTTATCGCGGCTGCCCTGTTGTTCGCCATTGCGCAAATTTTCCAATACGTCATCAGCGTCCACATCTGCAACGGTTCCGACGGCAAGATCAACGGAGGATTGTTTGAAACGCTTTTCACGCTCCTGGCCGTTGTCATGGTCTGGGTGTTTTGGTCCAGCATTACCGAGGACGACTGGCCAATGCCCACGGTGGCCGGAACATATACTTAGGAGGATAAAGTGGTCATGTTGAAACTGCAAAAGCAACGGCGTAATGTTTTTAATGATGATTGGAGGTTTTTGTTTCAGGCACAGCGTATACCATTTTGGGGCTCCTTGGACGCATTCGATGCGTCATGCCGGCTTGTGTTACGATATACATAATGTTTGCTAAATCCATCTTATTGATATAGACATGCAGTCACTTTGATCTTTGTTTGTTTCACATGCAAAAACGTGAATGCGCGTTCAGCCTATTACGTGCGCCACACGCTCCGACTCTCAATGTGGGTCCAGGATTATCCGTCCACCGTGAACCGTTGACTGTGAACCCTTTCAAAGCTCCAAACGTTTGGAAACTTTCTGTCTGCTGAAACCGTAGTCCTTGACAAAAACAAATCATTGCCTCGCATCCCTGCTTCCGCATTTCTGAACATGCGGGACTGAACGCGCATCGTCATCGAACGGCCTTTTGCTCCGGAGCACACGACGCCTGCTACATCCTTTGACGCCGTATATTGCGAATGCGCACTCCACCCGAAGCACGCCAGCCCACCTGCAGCCACTCCCATCCGCCTCTGCGACCACCTATGATACTAGACACCCCGAGACTGAGCTCCGAACGCACTGCCCCCAAGGCGTCAAGCTAAACGCAAGCCATGGCTGATTCCGACTACGACTTCGAGGACGAGGTGTCTGATGACGATTACATTGGCGACAAAGGCAGCGCCTCGAACACACGCGCGCAGTCCACGGCAGCTACCAAGAGGCGAAAGGTAGAGGTACCAGTCAAGGAAGCACCTCAAAGGAAGGCATGGGAGACGGAGTACTCGCGGACGGTGGAGAAGACGATACAGCCAGCAGATGATGGTAGTTTGGGGCAAAGTGTACAAGAGCGGGAGGAGGAGCGCAAGCGCAAGCGGTTACGCAAAGACACCAAGCCATTTCAACGTGGCATAATAAGACACGTCGTACTGGTGCTGGATCTTTCAGAGGCCATGCTGGAAAAGGACATGCGCCCCAACCGTTTCATCACCATGATCAACTTTACGCAAGACTACATTCGCGAGTTCTTCGAGCAGAACCCTATATCCCAAATGAGCGTTCTGGGCATGCACGACGGCGTCTGTATACGCGTCTCGGAGCTGTCTGGCAATCCGGCCGAGCACGTCGCGGCGATACAAGGTCTGAGAAGTAAGGATGATGGCAAGGAGCCCAAAGGCTCGCCCAGTCTGCAGAATGCTCTCGAGTTGGCGAGAGCAACACTCTACCATACGCCCAGTCATGGCACACGAGAGGTTATCGTCGTTTTTGGCAGCTTGCTGAGTCTGGACCCTGGCGACATTCACCAGTCTGTCAAGGCGTGTGTGAGGGATCGGATACGCGTCAGTATTATTGGCATGGGTGCACGCCTCAAGATATGCACCGAGATTGTCAAGCGAACCAACGCAGGTGACGAATCCGAATACACAATCGCCACAGACCAAGAGATGCTCCGGGAACTGCTCCTAGCCACAACGACACCACCTGTCATCCGACAACCTCTGATTACAGATGAGGTTGCGCCAGCAACAACCACACAATCTTCAGAATCAGCTGCTGCGCTAATGATGATGGGCTTCCCGTCACGGGTAGTAGAAGATCAGTTAACCATGTGTGCATGTCACGGAAACTTGACAATGGGCGGCTATACGTGCTCTCGGTGCAGCGCAAAAGTTTGCTCTCTACCCATCACTTGCCCTTCATGCCAACTCACGCTCCTCCTCTCCACTCACCTGGCACGTTCGTATCACCATCTCTTTCCCCTCCGCAATTGGGCCACAGTGTCATGGTCGCGCGCCCGTGAGATGGGCAGCAAACAGTGCGTGGGCTGCTTAGCTGCCTTCAGTAACCCACCGAGCAATGCCAAAGAGAATGGTGAAGCCAAACGAGACTCGGAATCAAAAGTTACAAAAAAAGATGACGATGACAGCGAGGAGCAGAAAGCTAGTGAAAGTGGCAGGTATGAATGTAGGGCCTGTGAGAGCCACTTTTGCATTGACTGTGACATGTTTGCGCATATGGTACTACATAACTGCCCAGGATGCTTGGGAAGGCTAGACCCTAACGCGGCTGCTACAAGTAACGGGGATGTGGAGATGAGTGGTTGAGGTAGAATCCATATCCAGCCTTTTAAGTTTGCTAGCGACGGCGATTTATCAGAGCAGATAGACTGTAAGGAAATACCCACGCGCTGGAAGCGCCAATTGCAAGATTGGTTCGAGGTTGAACTTTGTATCCCACATCGCTCTCTCAATTACATCATTTGTAGTTTCCATGTGCCTGTGCCATTTTCTTTGGTCAGACTACATTCTCAGGGTGGAGGTATATAGTCCGGGAAAACGTTCATCCCCATCAAGCTTGAAGATGACGCGCAGTCCCGTGAGTACGTAGAATCATTACTAGCCGATTATCTCGGACCATCGCACGAGGAAATGCCGAACGGCAGCCCCGCGTACGTGGGGCAGGTTGCCTCGTTGAGCATACTCCACATTCCGCGAATGCGCCATTGTGCGCCCGCAATTGCTCATAAGCCATTTATAATCTAGGTTACTTAGACTCACACATGTTTTCTTTGCCCATACGAGCTCTTGTCCACTGCACACGCGTTGTTCCCAGGCCAGTGCTTGCTTGTCGTTACGTCACTCCTCACCATAGAGTCTCATCAGTGAACCCGGTACAGGCATACTTTAGTACAGCTGGCAGAACCATGGCAGCTTTTGAACGATTAATTCGATTTGAGGATGCCGAGGGCAAGACAGTGTATGGTAATTTGGAGAAAGAAGTACCCACAAGGGAGATTCAGGGGAGTACCGTCGAGGTGCTTGAGGGCGATGTGAAGAGTGGGTTTAAGAAGACTGGTAGCAAGGCCACAGTTTCAAAGGCATGTTCGATCAATGCTTTTGTATCAAACTCCGATAGAACATAACTGATGAAATACGCATTGTAGCTACTAAGCCCACTTCCAACCACAAATATCATTCTCTGCGTCGGACTCAATTACCGCAAGCATGCCCAAGAATGCAATGTATGGCACCAAATCCCCCNCCCCCCCCCCATGTTGTATACTAACCATTTCTCCTACTTGTAGCTTCAAATCCCCGAGAACCCAGCCATCTTCATGAAACCCAGCGACGCGCTCGCAGGCCCCCTAGACGACGTACCCATCCACCCAACCTGCCAATCGCAACTCGACTACGAAGGCGAACTCGGTATCATCATCGGCCGCGACTGCAAAAACGTGGCCGCAGCAGACTATGCGTCGTACGTCCTAGGCTACACGGTCGGTAACGACGTCTCAGCCCGCAACTACCAGCTCCCCGCATCCGTGTCTGGCGGCCAATTCGGCTACGCAAAGTCCTTTGACAAGTTTGCCCCCATTGGCCCTTGCATTGCGAGTCCCGCCGTCATACCGGATCCGCATGCGCTAACGTACTGGACCAAAGTCAATGGCGAGAAGAGGCAGGAGACGGGCACCGATGATATGATTTATACCGTTGGCCAGATCATCGAGCACTTGAGTCGCGGGACGACGCTGAGGGCTGGCACGGTGATTTTGACGGGGACGCCGAGTGGAGTGGGCTTCTTTATGGAGCCAAAGGGCTTCTTGAAGGATGGAGATGTGGTGGAGATTTATGTGCAGGGGATTGGGAGTTTGGTTAATACTATGCGGTTTGAGTAGTTACATGGTAGTAGTAGTGTACATGTCACTGTACATTGCGAAGCCACTTGTTGCTTGAAAATATTCCGGAATTCATTACACTACACACTGGAGAAAGGGGAAAGTAAATCTACTAGAGTTGCAAGCACGATGAGTCATCCCAATCTATTTTGTTTCATCAACATATCCGAGGAGGAGGGGGAAAAAAAGAGCAGTTCAAGAAGTCATGTTTGCATGTCTTGCTGCACCTTGTCCCCCCCCCCCCCCCAAAGTATCTGCGAAAAAAGCCCTTCTTCCGTTCTAGTGCCCTGCATGATTCACATCTGCAACCAGATCTAAACACCTGTCACATGAACCAAAAAAATGGGATTCATGCGTTTGAAGCACTGGAAGCATGATGCCGAAACACAAGGTGTGGTGAGAGAGTGTGTCGACGCCCACTTTTAAGCACGTCCGCCTGGCGCATTGAAATGGATGAGGGGGGGAAAAGATTGAAGCGTTAGGACTGGCAGTGGCAGAGATATCGGTGGTGCTGGAGAAAGTCGTATTGGGTGAAGTGATCATCATGATTGCTGTCGCCACCACTACGAATACGAATAAGTATCCGGCATCATCCAGCGTTGCAGCATTTTTTTGCCACAATGGCAAAATAACAAGAATAGCAGTATTGATGAGAACTATCTCCGGATAGCATGTAGACGCATCGTCTCAAGTGACGCTAGGGAGCGGGCGGCAGCAGTAGCATCCTCGATGCAGACAGACAAGGAAAACACCTCTCCCTCTCCATCTAACCCCCTGCAATCATGCTTCTAGCTCAACAAGCACTAAGTCGGTTTTACAAATGTTCGTATGCAGCATAATCATTAGACCCTTGACCCGGACCAGGGGGGTGGGGTAAGGGATTAACAAGTCTGAAAGTCACGAGAAACAAGCCAAACCCATGTTTCCGTGTTTGAAGAAAGAGGTCGGTTTTGGAAACATGTCTGTTCGTGTTAGTGAGTAAAGGAACATCGCGCGTCCTCCGTCAGGGAGAAGGAGAAGGAGAAGAAGAAGAAGAAGAAGAAGAAGAAGACGAGAAAGATGTCCCCGTGGTATCCACACGAACGATTCTTCTTCTGCCCGTGTCTTGTGATCTGGGTGGAAACCATTGTTCATGCGTACTTGTACGTACATGTGCTTATTTTGCTTTCCTTACCCATGTATGCGGGTTTTTGGGTGGGCTTGTTGTCTAAGACCGTTTTGCGTCTAGAACGCGCTTAAACGATCAAGGTAATATATTGAAGTGGGATAGTAAGAAAGGGAAAAGATGGGCCATGGGGATTCTGGGGTTAGAGTCTTGGGGATTCTGAGTGTGCAAGCCACGCTTGATTACGTATGCTTTGGTGTGTATGTGTGTATCAAAGGGTTGAGAACAGGTGATGATGGGTTTGGATTGAGCATGGCAAGTTTGGAGGCAGCAAGATTCTGTTTTTGATATACGGAGATTTAAGAAAAAAAAGATATACGGTGTTTACGAGGCGAGATCAAGATGGAGATACCATGGCCAAGATGGGAACAAAAAAGAGAGGTCGCAATGAGCGAGTTGATGGCGGCGGATTGCATGACGGGTCCAAGAGCAAAAAGGGCAAGGCGGCCATGGGCGGTAGGTGGCAGAATGTGGGGGGCGTAGTGTGTCACATGCCACACGTCTGTTTCTGACCCAGCCATGTGAATGCTTGCTGGAGATGTCGGGTGAGCCAAGGGGAGTCTAGAGGGGGTGGAGGGGTGTCACCCGTGCAGTGGCCGGGCTGGACTGGGCCTGGGCGACTGCGAGGCGGGCAGCGGGCGGGCAGGCGGGCCTGATGGATGATGGACAATGGCGGTTCTGGTTCATGGGCAGTAAGCAGGACGGGAACTGGCATGATGATGGATGAATGGATGGATGGTGGATAGGTTGTTGGTCCGGCGCGGTCAATCGGCCTCGGACCACAAAGCGCGACGCCGCGTCCTTGTTCCTGTTCCGTGATGGACGACGACGACTGCGGTCGGGGATGCGGGACAGGGATGGATAGAGAGAGAGTGAGTGAGTGAGTGAGTGGGAGAGCGAGCGAACAGGGAGAAGGCGGTGATCCACTCAGACTCAATGGATGCACAGTGTGCTCTGGTGGTGGGAGGGATTTGGGGCTGGCGAGTGGGGAAGGCTGGCGAGTGATCAGCCCCGGCGCTGATTCGCCGGGCGGGGGCGGGCCAGGTTTCGGTTGGATTCCAAGTGGCCCCTTGGTCGCTCTTGGTCGCCCTTGCCTCGATAGATAGCGTCGCCTCTTCCTCGTGACCTTCTTCTTCCTCGTGATCCAAAGCCCTCATCGCTCCTTGTGCTGATAGTCCTACAACAAAAAGTCCATATCGGGCGGCGCTGAAATACTCAAGGTAAGAGAACTGTTTTGCTTTCACTTTCGCCACTCTCGTTTTTCCTCGCCCTTTGCAAAAATTCCCGTCGTCGTCTTTGGGTCGCCAGCGCAGACGTCGACCCAGTGCAAAGGCCGTTTTGTTAATCTTACTCGACATCACGTTACCAAACCAATCGACGAAACCGACTTGGTGAGTTGGACCCGTACGGTCGCTTTCTTGCTCTCCCAGCACGCCTTGTGCCTCCGCCCGCGCCTTTCTCCCTCCCGTCTTTTTTCTTTTCTTCTCCACGACTTGCCATGCCGCTTGTCATCGTCACCTGCGCCCGCTCGACGCCCTCGTCCAAGAGGGAGGACTAAGGGAAGAGGGAGAGGGAGCGTTTGGTGGCCGCCATGTTGCTCCGCATCCCACAACCGCAGCATCATGGAGACGCGCATCTACGACGAAACGACGCACGACTCCTCTTGTACGCCTTGCTGCCACCCACCGGCCATTGCACCATGAGCCGACCCTCCTTTGCGTCCTGACAGCTGCCTCTGCCCGGGACGACGCGAGACTGGATGCGCCCAATCGCCTGCCTGCGGGGGAGGCTGCTCTCGCACCACCTGGATTGCATCTCATTCACCTGTCTGCGCCCGTGCTAATGTTTGTCCAACACAGACTGTTCATGCTAAGCGCATAACTGCCAGACCACCTGCTGCGTCTTGCGTCTTGCGTCTGCGACTGCGACTGCGACTGCGACTGCGACTGTGACTGCGCCTACTTCCTCTCTTGGCTTTGCGCGTGAACTGGCGGGCAAAGCGTTCGCGACTCCTACTCCCCCGCCTCGGTTGTATTGCGCCTGCGGCTTACCATTCAAGCGCGTCTATCCTGCCCTGCCTCACTCCACCAACCACCGCCAACCCTCGCAACTTTGTTGCTCTCTTTACCCAACTAGCTATCCACCTACGCAACCCACGACGCCGCGATTGTATTGTAATTTGTTCACTGCCACCCTGCCACGCCGCTACATCGCCATCTCTGCCTCCCACCCTTGCCCTGTCCTTGGCGCGGACCTGGCATTCACGCGCCGGTCCCTTTCGCGCAGTGTCTATTTTGCAACACTGCCCACACCTACCTTGACCTCGCCCTCTTCTAATACTCCCTCCAATCCCTCCCTTGTCAGATAACCATGGCGGATACTGCCGGCTACCCGACCGATAGCAAGTTGGATGCCCACAACAGCGTCCACACCAACAAGCGAAAGCGCGACACGCGCGACCAAGGCATCAACCGGCCCGCACCACACAACTCCAACAGCGACTTGACCGACCAGGCCACCGCTTCGTTCCTTGCCGCGCACAACGCCGCTGACGACGACATGCAACAGCAGTTTGACGTGCACCACAATGGCGGCACCAATGCGGCCAGTGTGGGCGATACCGCAGCCGCCGCCCTTGCCTACCACCAGATGACAGTGCCCCAAGCGACCGAGCTCCAATTTCAGCCGCAAAATTCCGGTGACGGCTCATTTGGAATGGGCGACCACAACCAACAACAAACGGGCATGCAGGACTTCAGCCTCGAGGCTCTTAAGGCTGCAACCCAGACAGGCCGCCCTGGTCAAGCAGCGCCCAGCGACTCACCGCCGCAAAGCGCCACCCACAAGCCCCAGGTTGGCACAGAGGAGTGGCACAAGGTGCGGAGGGACAATCACAAAGAAGGTTCGTTCATTTCTTCTTTTTTTTCCCCATGCTTAAAAGATTCCACGACTAACCTGAATACAGTTGAGCGCCGTCGTCGCGAGACAATTAACGAGGGCATCAATGAACTCGCCAAGATTGTTCCAGGCTGCGAAAAGAACAAGGGCTCGATCCTCCAGCGCGCCGTACAGTTTATAACTCAGCTTAAGGAGAATGAGCAGCAAAATATTGAAAAGTGGACGCTTGAGAAGCTATTGACTGAGCAGGCCATCACCGAGCTCAGCGCCAGCTGTGACAAATTCAAAGCAGAGTGCCAACGTGCATGGGACGAGTGCCAGATTTACAAGCGCGCATGCGAGAACAACGGCATCCTGCCTGATGAAATCAAAGAACGCCAAGAAAACGGCGAGCAAACGGGGGCAAATCCAATGTAGAGTGGTGATTTTGCTTTTCTGGATCCTTTAGTGGGGCATGTTCTTTCGACACGATGCTGACGAAGTTTTTGTTACTCTTGGGATATACATGTGCGCTTCTTTTCTACGGGGGGGGGCGTTTTACCCCCCTGTCGTCTTTCATTGGCACGTGTAGTGCTGATCAAGGCTTACTTTTAACTCGGCGTACGGGAGTGCAAGTCTCGCTCGCTTGAGCACACGGGCTGTCGTTTGATTGTCTGCATCAGCCCGATAGTAATCGTGGTGCGTGTATGGGCTCCTTCTACTTGCAGGTTATGGTAGCTTTGTTTTTATTTCATGTCGTTATATAGTTACATATATATATATATATATATCTTTCTTTGAATGTTGAGCGACACATTCACAGCCAGATGAGCTATTCTCCAGTAACATGGAAATTCTGTACCCTGCTTCATCTCACTTGTCGTTCAGTGATGGAAAGGAAAGTGATGTTGGCTAGCAGTCGAGTCGCGCTAGCGAAACCCTGCCTACGCATGAGCCGACGGCGCATTCCTACCCCCACCTGCATCCATACAGCGACTCACCTTCTCCAACTTGCGGCCACACGCGTTCCTTCAATGTGCTCCTAGCAATCGACAAAGCAGTCATGAACCGCACGTAAACCTGTGTCCCACATGTGGTGGGCACGACTCGTCTATCCCCACAGCCTATCATTTCACAATTTAAACACTTGTCGCAAACGGACATGGAGAATCACGACGTACCTGGCGAACAACCACTACCACCCCCGGTAGTGGATGAGGCTGAGCTGATTGGAAACTCGAGTGCTGATTTTCCAGTCATCGAAGCTGAGCCCGAAGAAGAGCTCGGCCTGCCCCTCGATACTGCTGAACAGCAACGACTACTGCTCGACCAAGATGAGAACCAACCCCAGTCTGGCCCTCCTCTAACGTTGCCAACCCGTCCGGGCCTACAACGAGGCAATTCAGTTCCCACACCTGCACCACACCTCCCCCCTCCCGCACCGCCTGGACCGCCTCCAGATACCCCGCAAAACGACTCGCTTTCGCTGGCGCAGTTGCAACATCTCGTTCGAGGTATACCCAAGGTTGAGCCTGCTCCATACGCCTTCAGTTACGATGATGCTTCGTCTTTTGAAGAGGAGCTCGAGGAGTGGTTTTCATATGCAGTGGAAGAGCAGGCCATGCTTCTCAAGACACAGGCGTCATACGCATTGGAGTGGAGCGCATTCCACGGACTAAGCGACGCAACCGACACCGAGAATGGCTTGGATTGGGCTTCTGCGGCACCATCACAACGCAAGGAGTTTGTTGAAAAACTGCTGGCAGGACTGAAAGAGCTCGACCCTGTCTCGAGGTTGAAGAAGCTCGAGGCATTACTCTACCTGCTTCTGGGGTGCTGGTATGAGAATGCTGGTCTTCCGGAACCCACAGAGGACAACGAGACGACGTCGGACCATGCGCGCAATAATGCACACCGAAAGTCGGGAAGGCAAGTTGCGCTCATCAAGCGCAATGTAAACTTGTTGGCCGAATGCAACGGCGTGCAGAGCCTTGTGGACACGCTCGACGCTTCGTTCCAGAGAGCATGTGGGGTTGACGTGATACCTGACGTACAGCGCGACTCGAAAGAAGCGGAGCGACGTGAGATTTGGTGTGCCATGACGGCCGTCTACGTTGTATTGGAAGTCGCACGCGATGCGGAAAAGACAGGGAACAACACAGGACTCCGAAGCGCTATCCTTGATCTGGAAAAACCAGGCCTGCTTGTCCTGTTCGTCGATCTCATCGCAAAGCTGAGATGGGATGAATCAATCAATCTGCCCTTATGCAAAATCTCTCTGCTGCTATGGAAAACAATGCTTGTAACATTTGGTGGTCTCAGGGAAGTCGACAAGGTCAAGGAACAGTTTCGGGACAGCAATCTCGACTCGGAAGATTCCAAAGGACATCCGCTCATCACCGCTTCACCTCTTGACTATCACCTTTTCCGCCAAGAAATCAGCTCAAAGTATCCAGCATATAATCCTCCGCCTCCGCTCTTTCCCCTAGAACCAGAAAACAACTCTATCCTACCACCGCTCAAGAACCATCCTAACAAAGTCGCCGGTAATCATGTCTTCGGGTCTGGACTTGGAGATACGAATGGAAACACTACTTCTATTCTGCATCAGCCCATTCATATCGCGACTCCCGCGCCGTCGCCCCCTCCTTCTCCGGCGGGTCCTGGTGGCAAAGGTGGGAAGAAACAGAATTACCAGACAAACCAGATGTTTCCTTTCCTGTACCCACCACTTGACGAGTCTAGTAACAAGTTGGGTGGCAAAGGTTCAACTGACCTCCAGGATCTTCTTTGTGGCCGGAAATGGGAAGGCTCAGATATTCCGACGTCAATAATGGAGGCTGCGGAACTGTTTTCCGAGCGTATGAAGGCTACTCGCGCCATGAAGCAGCTGTGGGAGGAACGTGTTGCTTTTATGAAGTATGAGCGGGGTTGGACAGGCCCTGACGACCATCCCGACATTGAAGAATTGTCTCTTGAACCAAAAGAAAACGAGCCAAAGAAGCAACCCCCTGCTCCTGGGAGCGTCGAGGAGAGACTGCAACTTGTTGAAGAGTTCTACGTAAGTGCCAGCCAGGTACACCCCGAATTTACTGAGCTGACAATCATAGCGCGTTGCATTACCAAATCTACAATCACTAATCATCGTCTTGATCAAAGCAATCCTGGCACATGTAACAGCCCTAGTCACACAGTCAAGCGGAGCCAACGGCCTCCAAAGCGGATTCCAGTTCCAGGATAACCAAAATGGCACGACGGCCGGGCGACCTGACATGAATGGCATGAATGGTCACAATGGCACTCTAGCTACAAACGAGGAGCTGGACGCTATGCGAACCCAGGAAGTGCTGGACAAGGCAGTTACCGGTACCCTCATTCTCATCTTGAAATGGTTCAAGGTCTCTCATATCTTGAAGTTCGAGTACATCACGCAACTACTTGTTGATTCAAGCTATGTTCCTCTGATCCTAAAGCTGTTGCAACTACAAGAAGTTGAGAAGATTGTCAATTTCAAGAGTGAGCAAGAAGAACTTAACTTCTTCAACTACTGTCGGTCACACTCGAGAAACGCGTCTGAAGAGGAGGTCAACGTACACCATGAAGGAGATTTGCAGGAAAGAGACTCTGATGAAGACGATGCAGCCCCGCCCCCGATTCGCCGTTCGAGACTAGATTCCAACGAATCGGGCATCGAGCCAGCAATGCAACCTACACAATTGCAGCCCCCGGAGGTGGACGAGCTCGGCTTCCCGACCAACGAATTGCCGAAAGAGCCAATCACCAACTTCTCCTGGCGCGCATTCTTCACCTCAATCAACTACATGCGCATCATGCAGAAGATATGCAAAAACAAAGCGCATCGCAACCTTATGCTTGTATCATACAAGTCATCTCAGTTTCTCCGCAAGAGCCTCAAAGTACCGCAGCCAGAGTTGCGCCTTTATACTCTCAAACTCTTCAAAAACCAAGTCCCGTACTGTGGCCGCAAGTGGCGGCAATCCAACATGCGTGTCATTACAGCCGTGTATCTGCACTGTAGACCAGAACTTCGAGATGACTGGTTAGCGGGAAGCGACGTGGATGCGGAAGTCGACGAGAGTGTCCCTCTCGAGCAAGCCTTACGATCACTGACGCACTGGCACAATCTGAAGCGGTATCCAGAGAGTTTGGGCGCCAAGCCTGGCGTCCTTGAGGAGGAGCAAGACTTCTTCCGCAATGAGCTCGAAAAGATGGATTGGGGCGACGAGGGCGTCAATGAAGGCGAGATGGAGCAAGGCTGGCAGGATCTTCAAGTTGAGGGTTGGTGAGCATCTTGCACGCCGCATCTATATCTCGTCATCTTACACCTTGTATACTTATCCTCTTCATGTGATACCCAACTAGAGCACCGCATTGATGTCTCACATAGATGATGCCGATCGAGAGCGGTCTCCTGGGCGCCGAGAAGTTGTTTGCGAGGAGAAGATGCCAAAGTCGGATCCTGCGCGTTCCATTTCCTCGAAAAGAACAGTCCTGCCTGGGCTAGGTGCATGGAAACGATTTTGTCCATGGGATATCCACGCGGAACTCGAGGAGCTCATCAAGGCGTCAACAGAAGACAGCGATAGTGAGGAATCAAAGAACACTCGAGACACCAAAGCAAAGAAATACAAGAGTAGGCAAGGGCAGTTTTCCCCTCTGTATGAGCCTGAGATATGGAATGAAAACGAGGGTAGACGCAAGTGCAGGACGAGAAGGAATAGACGTGTTCCCAAGCCTGAAGAATAGTAGAGGGTGTATTCCAGGGTTGTTGGCCATGAACTCGAGCAGGATACCAGGAAGGCATGTAAGCGGCTATGAGCTTGAGCAAATCTAATGATGTATTATTTTGCAATGTTTGCCTACACAGTGAATCGTGAGCTTTGATCAAAGAACGACTCATATATAGTGTGTGTAGATGCCGCGGCGATTGGGGAGGGTAGTTGATCCGCCAATCAAGCAGCCGGATATGCGGCTTACCTGCGCGAATAAAGCAATGCGGCCCGTCTTGCCTGACTCGGCGTGGTACTACCCCGAGCTTCTTTCTCCACAACTGCGGGTGAGTTGGAGGCCGTCGGCATTTGCTCCGCCTTCGGTCTTCCTCTGTGCCATTTCCTCTCTTATTCTTTCTAGTTATTTGTATACCTTTGTCGCATGTCCATTGCTTCTTCCAGATATAGCTCCATTTTTTCACATAGACTTGATTGAAAGTATTCGTATTATGGCGAAGGTCTTTGATTACGCCGAAGGTCGGTCGCAAGTACACCCGGGACGTGAATTCCTCGTAGCTCACACATAAGATTAGTTGCAAAGCACAACACATCAGAAAGTTGCTGGGTAGTCTTATACGGCAATGTCTACGACGTAACGCGCTTCCTGCCCGAGCACCCCGGCGGATCTAAGGTCATCCTCCAGCTCGCAGGCAAGGACGCGACGGAAGAATACGATCCTATCCACCCTCCAGGCATCCTCGAAGAAAACCTTCAGGCTTCGGACAAGCTCGGCACGATCAACCCAGACACACTACCAAAAGAAGAAAAGACACCATTGGAGACTGGCGAGGCGCAACAAGACGGGCCTGTGGACCTGGAGAGTCTTTTGAACATCGACGAGATTGAAGAGGTGGCGACGAAGAAGATTCCGTACAAAGCATGGGCATATTACTTTTCTGCAAGCGATGATCTGCAGAGCAAATCGTTCAACAACAAGGTGTACAGGAGCATACTACTACGGCCACGGGTGTTTGTCGACTGCACACGCTGCGATACCTCGACAACCTTTCTTGGCCACAATGTTAAAATTCCTATATATGTTTCTCCCGCTGCAATGGCCAGGCTTGCACATCCAGACGGCGAGTGGGGTATAGCGCAGGCATGCGAGAAGTACGGTGCCATGCACCTCATATCGCAAAATGCATCTATGACACCCGAGCAAATTGTTGCAGATGCGAAGCCAGGCCAGGTTTTTGGATGGCAACTATACGTTCAGAACGAGCGGCAAAAGAGCGAAGCTATGCTTGCTCGTATGAACAAGCTTGATTGCATTAAATACATCTGTCTCACACTCGACGCGCCGGTTCCAGGAAAACGCGAACACGACGAGCGCAGCAAAAACGTTAGCTCCAACTTGCCTCTCCGTGCAGCCGTGCAGGAATCTCAGAGCGTAAGCAAGACATCAACTGATGCAAAGACACCAACACAAGCAAGCGAGAATGAAAAGCCCAAACCAAAGAGCATGGGCGTGGGACAGAGTTTGTTCTGGGGCACAGCGGCGGACTTGACATGGCGCTCTACACTACCCTGGCTCAAGAAGCACACGGACAAGCCGATTGTGCTCAAGGGCATCCAAACACACGAAGATGCCTACCTTGCTTCGCTCCATGCGCCCCACGTCAAGGCTATTATTCTTTCCAACCACGGTGGTAGAGCGCTGGACACGGCGCCACCTGCCGTACACACGTTGTTGGAGATCCGAAAGTACTGCCCAGAAGTCTTTGACCGCATCGAGGTCTGGGTCGACGGAGGCATCAAGCGCGGAACAGACGTTGTTAAAGCACTTTGTCTAGGCGCCAAGGGCGTAGGTCTCGGTCGGGCTGCGCTATTTGGTCTTGGAGCAGGAGGCAAAGAAGGTGTGGAAAGGGTTCTTGAAAGTACGTTCTTCTTTTCTTCTTTTTTTTTCTTCTTAAATTGTGTGTTTTGCCAGTTTGCTAACAACAAATTACACAGTTCTCAAGGCGGAAACAGAAACATGCATGCGATTACTTGGTGTGGAGAAGATTGAGCAACTCGGTATGCAGCATATTAATACGAGGGCTGTTGAGCGCGATATCTGGGATGGTCCGATGCTGGAGCGAGCAGAGGTTAAAGCTAAGCTGTAGAAGTGTGGGATGGGGAAGCATTGTGTACTTGGTACAAAGAGATAGTAACGATATTTTTGCCACATATCGAAAGTCGAGCCATGTTGCCTGACTAATTACCATCGTACCCAAGAATGCCCAGCGAACTAGTGAAGCATGACATATTATGTCTCCTCGAGTCATGCTTTTATTCTCAAAAGGGCATGTGTGGGGGGGTGGGAGCAACCGTCGAATGTTTGCTCATATCAGTCACGCAACAGCTGATGATTTGCAAGAAAAAAACAAAGGAACACTCTGCGGCCCCAGCGAGGGTCCCCCCCCCCTCCAGCCCACAGGTTCGTCAAATTTCGTATAGGGAACAGGAATATTTACGTATCCCGTTGGCGTGGGTTTTCGTATCCACTTATAACTTTTGTTTTGATTAGTGGGCACAATCTGCCAGGGGTGACATTACAGTTTTGTGGGTAAAGGGTAGTAGTGGGGATGGTTTTGTGGCGGTGGGATTGTCAGGGTGTGGCTTGAAATTCTTCGTGACCTTTTTTACATTTGTCCTGCGTATGCGTATTGAGCGTGTTTCAGGATAGCCCTTGCATGGCGTGCGGAGCCGAGCCGTTGGTTGGGTTTCATACTTGACTTAAATTGGACGGGGTTTCGTACCAAGGTTAGTAGGCGTGGGGATTACAAATTGCTAATTGATCATGGATCTTGTTCATTTGAAAATAAAGGAAAGTAATTGTATTTCTATATGGTATCTTGATGAAGAAAGGAAAGAAAAAAAAAAAACTCCGTCCTGTCCCTGTTCTATTATCTAGTATGTATTGTGTATCAATGTGCGGGCTCGAGACGACCGCGAACCACAGCGTCCAGCAACAAACTTCCATCTTGCCCATTTGAGGGGAAAAGGGTGGGAAATGAAATCAGGAGATGAATTCAGCAAACCATGGCCCGCTAGTCAATTCCCCCACCCACCCAAACACCCCCGGTTGGCGGCAAACTGGCAACCAATGCAAACCATGCGGCGCCTCTTCCTTCCCAACCCCGCGCGCCATATCGTTTTTTTTCCTTTACCCGCTCACCCACTGCCCCCCAGTCCTCGCGATTTCACAAATCCCAGCTTGACACAACGGCTACGTAGTACCGTGTCTCGCGCCATATCTCGCTTGTGTACGTATGTGTTTTTCCAATCTAAAACCTGTGTCCAACCCAAAACCAGCCAATTGTAAAGGAACACAACGCAACAAGTTGGCCATAGTACATACGTTTAAACCAAAAAAAGGGAAAATAAAAGGCACAGAAAAACACGTCCACAAAGTGAATAAGATGAGGGAGAAAAAACGCCCAGTACGTACTACTAACAAAGGAAATAATAATAATAATAATTGGGACAAACGCCGGATCGGTGCGCATTGGTTGCTTTCGCCCTGGGGTATATGGTTAATTTTCATTGCACACGTGGGTGTGCTCATCTCCTTCTCCTCTCTCTTCTCTGTTTTTTTTTGGCTTTGCTTTGCTTCAGTAACGCTTGCGAATCCTGTCGCTAGCATTCTACAACAAATCTTTTCTCATCCTTCGCCTGCTTTTCTCTCTCCCCGTCTCTTTACGCAAAATTGATGATTTTGCTCAAATACGTTTTTTTGGGGGAAGGGCGCCGCGCCCACGCGAAGAGATCAAGGGATGGGGGGTTAAGTGGGTTGTTGGCGAAATGGCTAGTGAAATGAAGGACAGCGGAAATTTCAAGGGGGGCGGTTGGTCATGATGATGACCTGGCGCTATGCAACGTCAGTTTGAATGGTCCCGGAGATGGCCGCGTGTAGCGCCGAGATGATTGGAGGCGTATGGAGGCTGGCTTCGTATAGAGCGGGTAGGAGTTGGGTGACCGTTTTTTTTCTGACGGGCTTGCTGGCTGTGGCTTGGAGTAATACGAACATGTGCCGTACGTACCTGATTTTTTTTTCGTTTTTTTTCCGGGTGGTTGGGTAAAAGGCATGCCGAGCTCGTCGAAGCGGCAGTGGCGGCGGCAGCTTTTGCTTTGGGCGGTACAGTGCATACTCAGTGCTCCGAGTGAATGGCGCCTGTGCCTTCGCAGATGGTGCATTGTTTTTGGCCGGTTCGTTTGCAGCATGGGCCACCTTTGCCGTTACAGGCGTCGCACTTGACGGTGCCATTGCCTCTGCATTCGGGGCAGTCTTTCATGTTTGCGTAGTATCTGGTCGGATCGTGAGGGCGATACTAGAAGCCGGTGGGGTGTCGAGGCGAAGAATGGGGGAGGTATCCGAGTCCTGGACAAGCGAAATAGATGGACGGAGAGAGGGAGGGAGAGAGAAAGGGGAAGGGGAGAGGGTCAGAGTGATGCAGACGGTGGTGTTGATCTTGATTTTAGGGAAGCAGTGGGCATCAAACGAGCAGAACGATGAAAGGTGCTTTCTGTTTCGAATCAGTACCACCAAACTCTCGGCGCACACCCCTTCCCCCGTCCAGCGTCGTCGACGGCTTTTATACATGAAATTGGCCCTGATTTTTCTTGCCTGCGGTGGCCCCGCGCAGACCCGTTGCCCTCTCAGCAAGGCACCGCAATCTCACGGTGGTGGCCGCACATGGGATAGTGAAGCAAGCTCCCACGCTCAGCCCCCCGCGTGTTGCGTGCGTGCGCGCCAGCCAGCACCAAGCAAGCACCACCGCACCGGGCACTGTCCGGGCTCTTTGTCACGATAGCCAACCGCGCGAATACATGCAAAAGCAAGATAAAAAAAGTGTAGCATCACGAGATCATGGTTGCTGCACCTCTACGCGCCCGCTGTCCAATTGTAGCATTTTCTTCCTGCAATGCCGCTCGACATACGTATTCGGAAATTGTGATGTCAATGTGCGTCCGAGGTAGTAGTAAGTAAGAACAAAACCAGAAAAAAATTGCCCAATTACCTACTACTATCTGCCTACTTACGTGTCTGCACGTCTATCCAGCCAGCCCCTGTACAACGTTTCTCTCTTCTCCTTCGCTCTCAATTTGCTGCTCAACTTTCACGTGCTCCTCTTCTTCTGCTTCGCGCACGCCCAAGGTGCGGGAGACAGGGGATACCATGGGTTCTCTTCTTGGCTGCCTCTTGAACAAAACGCTCTCGTTGCTACTCCAAGCTTATGGACTGATGTTGCTCTCTGAGCCGCTACACCCGGACTACACTTCCTTGTCCAATGGTGCTCGTCCTATGCGCCCACCCTCTGTGCATTTCAAACCTAACCTACTTGCACGCTTCCAATGGTGTCATGCTTTCTAGCGCGTTCCATGTCACTGTCGCGGCCAGCTCCAGAACGACAAGTGAAGTATGTATCAGGCCATGGGGCTGTCTGCCTCAGGCCCGACGCCCGTTTGAAACTACGTTGCATAGGGACCAAAAATGGTGTAATGGCCCTCTCAAGGCAGACGAATAGCAGACCCGAGTTCGAGGCACCGACAGCCGGGCTATTACATGCGCTCTGAGGGGAATGCTTGCTCCTGCCTGCTGACTGGTCTGCATCCGACCAAGGGACTACGTACGCCGAAGTAGTTACGGTAAGGCAAGGCTGGGCAAAAGCATGTCACGGGCACGTGGCAGACGGATTGGGGGTGAGTCGAGGCACGATGATGTGAGTAGGGCTGGGAGATTGGCTGGCTTGCTGGTACGCCCTGTTTGATTGCATGGGGTTGCTGGGTGGGGCCCAGGGCAATACGATTACGGATACCAAGTGTGTACACCTAATTCGCTTACCCATCCACTTTTTTTTCCCATGATCCTTTGACCGCTCCGCGCTACGACGCTCATTGTGGACATTCGCAGAGTATAGGAATTAAATCTGACTGGATGAAAGACTGGAAAAATATAATGCGAGGCGGCTACGGGGTGGATCCTTTCTGTCGGCTGTTTTAGGTTTGCCGACCGTTTCCGTCCATCAGCCTTACGCTTCTTCATGCTGTCTCTTTACCCGCTATCTGATCCAGGTGTCAAAAGAGTAGTTTTCAAAAGGTCCGCGGATCTGACACTTGCACAATTCCATTGGTTAGCCTGTGCCCATATACGTAATCTGTTGAGTTTAGTAGATAGATAAGGATCGTGAGAACTTACTACAAGGATGTTGTTGCTTTCGACGGCCGTGCACACTTATTCCATTGACACTTGACACAGCATTGACAAGACGTTGTAGCACTAATGGTAGCTCACCTGGCATTCGAATAACGTAGCATCGATAAGTGTTTGAGCTGGAGCAGGGACCAGAAAACTACATGTAGCATCCAAAAAACTGAGCAAGAATAGACCGGTGGCGCCGGTGACGTCTTGGCATCAGATAAGGAGCGTGGATAGGATGGAGGCGAGAAACTTTGAAAGAAAGCGTTGAGGCTGAATATTTGGTTGAGAATCTTAGGAGAATGCATGAAACATGACATATGTTAGAGCAGATCGAAATCATTGGCAGCACATAGGTATAGGGAGTGGTTGCAGGAAACAGGACGCATTGGTGAGTGTTAGAAGCGGTGCCAGAGCCCCATATTTTGGGTTCTGCATGGATTCTTGTATGAAAATAGCACTTGTAGTTTCATTTGCAATGTGAGAATCTTAGTGTGGAAGCTTCATACGGGCAATGGTTGGTTATCATCGTTTGGTACCGAGCAAAAAAGGATCCTTGCCTCACTCCACAGGATAATGCGGTGGGTATATGCCGCTTCTCTTAAACAAATTCGTTGTTTCCAATGTATGACTTGAATTGATTATATGTGTTTGCTGTACGGCGTATCGGATTGACTATCTTAGAAACGAATGACAAGTCACACTGCAACCTGCCAGAATCGGGGATCGAAAAAAAGACCTTGAAGCTAAAGTGGAAGGATTCGAATAAGAAATTCCAGCAAGGCCCTGCTTTTAAACCTTGAAAGATTGATTGATAATACTACCAAGAATATGTACACCTCGTAACGAGTATATGCCCATTAGGCCCACCTCTATTGAATATGATAACTAAATCAATTATTTTCCGATGGATACAGACGTTTT